GAACCAGTAAGGCCGTCTTCTATAAGATGTTCATGGTTCCATTATATTTTGTCTTTGGGTGACTTACTTACTGATCACTTAGTAATACATGATCACTTACTTTGTAACATAGACTTTTTACCAAACGGCCCAGATTTGTTTTTGAAACAGTAGAGCTATATGTAGCTTTTTCATAAATGTTTTATGTTGCAAAGTAAGTGGTCTTCATCATCACAACTTACTACAGGTACTTGGGATTGATATGGTTTGAAGAAAGGTACATTAGTGCCAAAGTGGAAACCAAAACCAGAATTGGGTGACATCCCATGAGAGTTCTTTAAAAGGTCAGAGCAAATACTCAGTGAAACGTACATCAGTGCATGGTAACTTTATCTCTAATGTGTAATAACACAGTAACAGTGTGATGAGTCCTTGTCTGCTGTTTTTATTGTTGAATAACGAGGGAATTGTGTCCTGTACTGATATTGTAGTGATTGATGCTTCAGTTGCTTTAGTAATGGAGTTGTGAATTAAGTATTATGAGGTAAAGAAGAGACGATGGATTTATCCTGCTGGTTAAAGTTGGGATTGCTGATTTCCCTCTTTTTGCCAGTTTCAGGTGTGGATAGCACACTATGGTACAGCCTCACTCTCAGCCTATAGCATTCTCAAAGGAAAAACATCCCAGTTTGACAATTCTCTTGAAATTAACAACCTATTTGTACATATTGGTAATGGTGTCTTGACATTTAGCTGAAGATATGATTTATGTCCCTAACCAGATGGTGCTCTTCAATTTTCATTACTGGCCTCTTTGTAGAATTAAATATTAGTTCAAATTCTGACTAAGACAATTAAAGTATATGGGTTTTTCAAAAGTGCTAACTCCACAAATGCAAAGTATTGTGGTGGTAAAATGTTAATTCTTTCAATTGTCCAGGTGGAGGAATGATTTTATGCTTTAATTGTCAAGAAGAAAAACATTTTAATATCAGGTATCCTTTAAATAAAACATTTTTGGTTCTCACTAAGCATACATATTTTACAATTGACATACAAAACCACGTAAGAAATCATGGATTAAAGATTTATGTATTCCTGACTTGTAATGTGAAAATAAACTATGTGCTGTAGATGGCAATTTGATTTTGCAGGAAATGCTTATTGATTGGTGTAAAACTTTGATTCAGAGAAGTCATATGTTTGAGCATGAAACTTTTGAAATGCTGCATGTGCAGACGCTTGGTATAGAAGAGTATGGTTGCATTATTTCTCCTATATTATCCATTATCTTCTATCAATTATTGGTTAAGTATTTATTGATGGTTGTCTGTGCTATAGTAACCTTTAGAGAGAACAATATAAATAGCTTCAAAAGTAGTCATGCTAGATAGAAAGTCAGTGATTAATGATTTAGCACAATTTCATCAATCTAATTTCCAGATCTATGGCATGTTGCAAAGTGGGTGCCAACACTTAAACTCAGTACTAAAACTTTTTTTCTGAGAATAGCAGTTTTGACCATTTTTAACAAATTAAAACGTGCAGGATTCAAATGAATACCTAGTGCCTAACAGAGTCCACCTTAAATGTCATACCGGATGTACAGCAGTGTTTAGCTTACTCCTCAATCTGCTTCTAATCTCTACTAATGGCCCACCTGCATACAAGTACGGTTTTCCTGGGATTATATTTCTGAGAGCTGCAGGTGAACACTGCAGTTTCTAGGACAGTATTAACCTAAGCCCAGAATGGAACGTGTAATCCAGGTAATCTTCAGCTTTGTTCCTGATATACCACATGGTGCTTATGTGGAAAATTAAAGGTTTTCATTTTTTGTTTTAGTTTTGACATAAATGCTGACATCATCAAGAGACCTCAGAGATTTATAGTTATTATATGATATGCATGAGAATAAATATAAAGGCACATTCAATGCACTTCCATTGATTAGTAGGTGGAATCCGCCACAGATACAAGTAGTGAATGTTATCGTCACTTAAGAGCAAACTGATTTTTTTTCTTCCAGTTTGTCAGGAAGAAACATTGGACTGATGCAAAGTAAATCATTGTATACAAGTTTTATCTGAGTAAAAAGGTAAGACCCATTAACCTTCTGTATGAAGTTTTTAGTAATTCAAGATGCTTTTATAGTTATAATCAGCCTGTATAATGTTGACGAGAAGACATGCCAATTTCAGTTTATGCTGCAATAGAAAGTCAAATGTGATATTTCTTATCAGAAGCAAACCTAGTCATCTAGTTGGATATGTTAAAATATAAACAAAGGTTAAGGTCAAATTAATATATTAATTAAGCAGAAAGCTTGAAAGAACAATCCAAGTTTGCCTAAAGCATGAAGTGTATGAAAATCAATTGTAAACAGATTTTTTGTATTCATTTTTTGTTTTATGCCTAAACTGTCTTTCTCTGTGTACGATTTCTTACCTGTCTCTTTATTTTTCATATTACCTTACCTTATTTGAACTGCTCTCATCACCAGAAGAAATCCTTAATTGAGGTCTGATTTATTTCCTATTAAGGCATATATAAAATTGCTTCATCATCAGCATTATACTGTCACCAGCATGCTCAAAGCTCCCTGACTTTCAGAGATTCCCTGTTACAACAGGTTACTGTAACTCAGGGTAGCTTAGTGCTATATTTTAGAAACTTTCCCTCAGTCTTAACCTGCCTAAGAGTAATTTTTTTTTCATTCTGACTAGTTTAACCTGATCCATTTTACAGAGAGCATGACCTAGGTTAAGAAGGCCCAGTTGTTGGTTTTTTTTAAAGTGCAATACTCTTTAATACACCTGTTAGTACTTTCTCCTGATATGTACGTACATAGAAGATAAATGCGTTTTTGAAAACGAATATTGTCAAGGTGTCATTTGGTTTTCAAAATAAGAACATCATTTGAGAACATTATGTGTGGTAAAACTCAGAGAAGAATATTTTCCTATTTTTTGTGTGTCTATTGAAGTTCTGATTTTTTTGTTTTGTTTTGAGGGAAAATAAATGATTGATGATTTGGGTGCATGAAAATGCAACGAGTTGTAAGTTGTACTCTCCTAGCTGCCAGTGTAGGATATCTGAAAGAGGTTGAGCATTTTTCAGTCATCTCTCACTATAAACTTTAGTGCTCTGGTTCTCATGATTTGATTTATTTATTTTTTGTCATGTCATCAGTTCTGATTATACTGAATACACATTTACATCCACAAAAGTACAAATCCTAACTGTACTGAAAATGTTATATCTCAATCAGATTGATGCAAAAGGGAAGAGACATAAAAATGTCAAATGTGGTCATTATCTGGCCCCTTTGTCCTCCCACTTACCAGACTTTCGATGTGCTCTATTTAATCTGTTTTAAAACCAAATGTTTGGCCACACGTCAAGCGCTAGACCTAAATTCATATATATTTATATACATACATAGAACTTGAAGCACTAGTAGAAAGGAAGATTGGATATATAGCATTATAGGATTTTTGTTTTAGATGAAGGTCTGGTGAGGACTTGACAGGTGTGTTTGCTTTACAGTACAAGTACATACAGTATTTGAAAGCATTACAACATGTTAAACTATAGAAAAGATTCAGGTCTTGTTTAAGGCCAAAATGAGAATATGTGACTGAATCAAAGAAAAGAAAAAACATAAGAAGAGATTTATAACATAAGGTATATATTTAATGCACAGATATATACTGTAACACGAATAAGTGGTGCTGCATATGTAAATGTGCAATTTGTGGTTGGTTTTAGGTGAAGGGAATAGTTCAACATTTGAAAGAGTGATAATATTTTAGAGTCATCCAAAACAAGGTCAAAGCAGGGTTGACAAGAATCTTTTTATTACATTTATTGAGGTATTGATTGCCTAAGAAGCTCTCAGCATCTTATAAAACAGATAATTGGGCATTATTATTATAATTTTTGTTCAAGTTAAACCCATCAGTGGGATATTTAAATGGTCTTAGGAATCAATTGTGCACAAGAATTGGACAAATGCAAAGAAAACCACTGATCCTAAGAGAACATTGCTGCTGAATGGTTTCAGTTGAAAATATTTTCTTTTCATCATCCCAGTAATTTGACTGTCTATCAACTATAAGTTTATTGCCTAATGTAATTTAATGGAAGTAGAAATGCATGCATTAAGTTCACCTTTGATGACACTAGATATATTATTATCACTGCATAGTGAACATTTTGTTTGTCTACATAGCAGTTCATGACTTATGAATGTAATGGATTTCCTCCCTTAAGAGAATACTCTGCTAACCTAATATGTGCCTGCATTATGACATATAAAAGGATGATTGTAGACAGATAAAATGAAAACTAAGATTGTGTTGCAAATTGTACTGGTAGAAGTATGAAGGGCAGACCCAGAGGCTTACGGGGGAGGTGCCCTGACCCCCCCCCCCCTCCCCTTTGCAGAAGACAATATTGTTTATCAAACACTATTTCAACAAGGAAAATGTTAGTCTCGCTGCATGATCAAATCTGACCTGTTACCTGATCAACAGGCAGGTTCTTCAGTAGTAAAGCACCTTCAGTGTTACTGTCTGCTTACAGCAGGCTTGAGACCGAAGTTTATGAACTTGGATTTCAGATCAGTCATATAGCTTTTGGGCAAACAAATATACTAACTATATTATATTGTATATATGTTTATCTCTCCAATTTCATTTTTAATGCTTTTGCTGAAATTGTGACAGAAATGTTTTCTTTATTTTTTTGTGCTTCTGCTCACAATTCAGAATAAATAAAATATCTATCAAAGTATCAAGACTTCATGCTGGATTGCCATGGGGCTCTAATCATGTAACATGTAACAACATTAACTTGGCTACAGTGCTAGCTGGCACAATGGTCTTTTCCCAGGCATAGCACTCCTTTCTCACCTAACACATTTCAGAAAAGCATCTAATCAGCATTGATCACAGTACCTAAAATGAAATTCACATCCAATATCATGATAACATATTTTTTCTGTTTCTTTTCCCCAGGATTTAATGATGTCCAAATCAGCTGAGTGCTCTCCAAAGCTTTCACCAAAGCATAGAAACAAGCACCACATGCATCATATGGATGTTAGAGAAATACGTCACAAGCTACATAGATTATCACCAAACTTTTTAAGAAAAAAATATCTCAAAGACAGGAGTGAGGAAAGTGACACTTCTTGCCATTCTTCACCAACTTTTCAAAAGCGCAACAAAAAATCTTCAACAACAATAGAAAGTGAAAGCAAGTCTCAGGTTTTGCCATTGTTGATACCTCCTCTCCATCATGATTCCAGCGGTTCAAGTCAAAGCCATGAGGATACAGTCACATCATTGTCAACAATCAAGTTAAAAAGGAAAGGAAGCCCAAAAGATAACATGTCTGGTGATGAAACACCCAATCAATCTCCAAAATCACTGAGGAAGTATGGAAAGAAACATAAAGATCATGATCATCACAAACATTTTAAGCTGCCATGGAAAAACAGTAAAGACAGCAGAGAAGTTGTCAGTGTTCTGGCCACACATGCAACTGGGATTGTGGCAGAATTGTCACTGGACCCCCCAATGCTGTGAGTAGCTTGAATATTTACATGCATATATGACATATATGCCAGTTTGATATTGATAAAGAGTTGACAATTTTTCCACATCTATTTAAGAATCTGATCTGAAAAATATAAAGTGCCTTAGACAGATGTTTGAAGATTAATAAGTCATAAAATAAATTAAAAAACTTTCCTTCGCAAATTCCTAATGGAAGAACATCAAACTGACTGAACAAAAATAACATAAAACTTCATTTGTATTCAGTATATGTGCAACATCTGAATTAGTAGGAGATTAGGGAAAAAGGGAAAAAAATTGAATGGAAATTAATACATTTTCCACAGATTACTTTCAAAGATATTGATTGCTGTGGTGATATGTTGTTAAGAGTCTAGGGTATAGATGTTGCACAACAGTTATAACATATGTATAGTAATGACTAGTAGATACAGAAGTGACCAGCACATCCCATTCCTAAAGAGATGGGCAATTGAGCTCAGAGATATAATTAGCAAGTTTGTGGGCTGTAGTAATAAGATTATTTCAATAATTACTATCACAAGGGAAAGCACGCAGAGCACAGTTGCTCATTTTAGACTGCAGATGTTTAAGGCAAGGCAATCAGGTGGGGGTTTGTTGAGACCAGTATTCAGAATTTTTACTATCTTATTCATTTTTTTTATTATCATTTTATTTGGGGGGTTGGGGGGCAAAGTACTTGATGATACTTGATGATAAGAGGCCTTTCTCTTCCTTTGCAGATGGTTTTATGCGGAGACAAAATATGTCTGATCATAAAGACATCACCTGTATCTGTTGTCACCATTACCAGTAATTTTGCTCTCACCTTGCATTTACATGAAATTTTTGCCTGTAAGCAAAATGAAAGGAAAACAGTGTTTTTATTACAGTCAAACTGAGAGAGGATCATAGGATATAAAAAAACAAGTCAAAGTTGAAATCACCCTGATTTTTTTTTTTTTTTTTTTTTGCAAATTTGGCATTTTTCAGTTGTGACTTTATATTCCAGTTGGTCTGAAACCCTGTTCTAGTTACGTACATTTTCTGATTATCTACAGAAGCTAATAAATTATTCAAAATTTGTGCTGATCATGCATTACGTAGTATTTCATAAAATTTGAAAAGAATCATTAAATTGGTTGTTCATCATTTTAGACTGTTTTGTCATTTACATACCTGTCCATTTGGTAGCTTTGCTGCCTTATTTAAACATCCATTTTTATCTTTTTCTTTTTGCATCCTTTAATTATTATGGTGCAATATATTTTTGATATATAACTTTTTTTTTTTTACAGTTTATGTTTTCCAATTAATTAGGTAAAGGAAACAAGCTATTGGTGTATAACAATTTAGTTAGATATATATCAAAAGCATGTTTAATAATTTTACCTATATGCCTAATGTTACTCACTTTCCCCAAATCATAGTATTATTTAATCCCATTCTTTAGAATAATGTGTTTAATTGTTTTGTCTTAGGACAATAAATTGCCCAAGGTGTAATCACCTATTCCCTGAAGGTATACGTACAATGCTCACAAGTTTACATTTTTTATAGGAGCACAATTTACCTGACTCACGGTCTCCATTAAGATAGTGTTTATATAGAACATGATTTTGTCAATTGGTTTGGAAGTGTCATGCCTTGGTGGAAAAGAGAAAGTTATGAAATGTCCAGCAAAATATTTTTTACGATATTAAGATCTTGCGTTCCATCTTTACAGTCCACATCCATTAAAGATTACATGTATATTAGTATTATTACTTCATTTACTAGATCAGTTTCAACTGAAATTCTTTTTATATATTTCATCATTATTTACCTCCGTGCATGATATCATATTTTGATTTTTTTCCATGTTTATTATCAATAAATTGTTTCTTCTGTTGAAATATAGAATTACAAAATATTACAGTACTGGATCTATTTGTGTAGTTATCAACAAACCATGTAAACAGTCCTAGAGTAAAGTACCTTTACTGTTAAATGCACAAAACATAGCATTTGTTTTGACTTCAGGTAAATACAACAGCGTGAAGAGCTCTACTTTATGACCCCAGTGTAAAGCCCTCTATACTGGGTCAACATGACTTATATACATATAATGTACGTATAATAGCTTTTCTGCACCAAGACTGTTTGCACTGGTTGCAGACCTAAAATGGAGAAGTTTAAATGACAGGTACTCTTACATACATGTGATATTGACAAGATCCTCAATCTGTGCATCCCCCCCCCACCCCCCAATCAATTTTGTCACCTGTGACCCAGCATCTTTTCAATCTACATCCCACCTTAATGCTGTACAGATGCACATGAAAAATTGTACAATATCAACTTAAATTTAAGCATGTTAGAATCCATTGATGTGCCATATCATGTTCTGATTTAATTATAAATAAATCTATTTTAAAATATTATGTTTATCTAAAGCCCTGTGTATTGCAGTAAGTTACCACCTCTCCAGGAATGCCTGTTCACATACATATATGTCTGGCCCAGGACACAGGCTATCAGTCACCCTCACCACCAACTGTGATTGGTTCTCCATTATGGTGTGGTGGGGTCAGCTGATAGGCGGATTATACAAATCAAGGCCTTTGTAGTTTAATGCAGGAATTATGTTGTATACACAGGTTGGTGTACACAGGCTCCCGTCAACATATAGGTCATGTGGCGTGTATTGATTAGAAACTGCTGAGTGTTTTAAGGGATTGCGAAATTTTAAATTGTGCAATCGTCAGAGGTGCCTCTGGGCCCAATGCTGGAGCTGAAGAGTATTGGGGATGTTGCTGACTGGCCCATCTGGATGATGATGGTAGCACTAATACACCATGATAATCTTTTATTAATAGCTATTCAGTAACACACTGGATCTGAATCTAGCTCTTGCCTGTTTAAATTGCTGAGCCATCCAGTATGTACATAAAGAGCAAGAGAGAAAATAATTCTGTTGAAACACAGTATCTGGCTTTTGGCTAACTTGATAAAGGTATTGAATATTTGATCTGCCAAGAAGGTTTAAGTCAGGATGAAGATGGTTGATTGCAGGACAGCTGCTAGGAGGTCCTGGGGTATTGAGGCAACTATGCAAGTGAATAGTAAAACTTTCATAAGGAGACAGAAGAGACATCTTATTTAGTAACACTTAACCTGCAAATGATGTGGTTGCCGAAGGAATACCCTCAAATCTTACATAAGGCCTTATAAGGCATCAGAACTCTTTTTTTCAGATCCATGAATTTAGTTTTGTGTGTTTGCCTATATTCTGGCACATTCACTTATAAATATTGCAGGAAGAAAGATGACATTTACTTGAACATTTAAGGTGGGCAAAAATAATCACCTACTTTTTCAAATGAATCAATGTTTCAAGTTGACTGTTGAGAAGAAATCAATTCTGCATGTAGCAATGGTCATCAAAATGCTGGCAGCTTTCAAGACAAAAGACAACTTTAAAGACAGAAATGATAAAAAGAAAAAATCAAAGAAAAAAACTAGGATTTCCAGCACCAGCATAAACTTCAATAGGTAAGTTAACTGTCAACAGTTATCAGTATTTATATCTTGTGTATTTAAACAGTGCAATATTGATCCACTTCTTTATGATATTGGTAGTATATATAAATATGCCGTTTTCCTGCAAGGTCATATTTATATCTCATGTAGTTGTCTCCATACTGTTAAATTATTTCATCTGTCTGCTTGTGGGTAAGTGATATCAAAATAAAGTTGAGTTGGTGGTTCAAGAAATAACTGCATGTGTCCCGGGATCTAGGGTCAATAGTGCACCACAGAACAGGTGAGTACACAAGCACAGACAGTTATTGTTGGGATTGCATAATCTTTGTATTGTAATGAAAGTTGGGTAAATTATTGAACTAGTCAAGTCAACCATACCTTCTTTCTATTGTACTGTGCAGGCTACAAATCAGACCAGCTTATTCATTTTGTTGAAACATTTGGTTCTACTTTTTAAAGCAAATTAAACTTATGAAAACTGAAATTCTATAGATTTACAAAAATGCTTTGTTTATTTTGTTATAAGAGAACTATTGGTTATGTTTTAAAGCAAATTTGATTGAAATTTTATTAGAAGTGAAAAAGTGTGAATAGATAAGAAATCTAACTTCTGCATTACAGTGTTTCATGCACAGACAGGTGCAGTTATTAATTGTTGTTTTCTGACGGTTTCACCTTTTGGTGCATGGGACAGCATTATAAATAATGCAGCAGGTGGTTTTCTTATTTATTTACACTCATATCAGCTCCATTTTTAGCACTTTTTATAACAGCATTTTGTTTATATCTGCATATCTTCCTCTCCTTCAATCAAGCTCAGACATTCCAAGCTAGCCTAACATGCTTCCAGTACATGAGATATGTCACAGCTACTAAATAAACAACTTTCACCTTTTGACGGGTGTAAATTCATAACATAACAAAAAGAAAGTCAATTACATTTCAATGAGAATTTTTTGTCAAGGTGTGTAAATGCAGGCAATCTGATCAGGTAGGGAGCATCCCTTAATCTCATCATACTAGCTGGATCAATCTAACTTTGTGGGGATTCTTGCTATATTGCATTCAGTGTAAGCAGCTGAAATGTTTGGCACGCCTGCTGTGGGGGTAGTCATGCAGTTACTCCCTTGTTACTCAAGGAGGCTTGCCAGACAATTCAGCTTATTACACCGAAAGAACTTTAGCAAGAAGCCCTGCAGAGTTAGATTGGTCCAGCTAGTACGATGGGTTTATAAGAATGCAGTCATTATAAGCTTGATGAAATTACTTTTCTCTGTATCATCTTGAATGAGAGAACTGGGTCAGTTCCACAATTAGGCTAAATCCAGTAATTGATGTATGAAAATCTGCTTTGTTTGGAAAATTTTTACAGGAACAAGGGAGTGTGTTTCTTGGAAAAAATATATTTAGTTTCATATATTCCCATGCTGTAAATAACATCCTGGTGTGGTTACACTGATGGATGCACTGGTATACCAATTCACAGGTGGTCCTAACTGTCTTATGGAATTTTTTTGGGTGAAACCAGCTCTAACATGTGCTCCAATATCAAACAAAAAACATGTATTTAGAATTAATTGTTATGCTATAATTCCCATAGGAATGAGACAATTCTTTAGTTTTTGAATCGCTAGACTACACCTGTTGGACAAAATGATTCTATGTTTAGCCTAGTGTTGGTATGTTGTCGAATGAGGTCAAATATTTCCTGTAAGATATTAAGTGTTAGCAGTCAAATTATGAATAAGGGAGTAGCCATTATAAATGTTAGATGTATAATTATTGATGCAGAATGTCTGGTATATACTGTATATATTATGCATTGTTATAACAATTTCAAGAAGGTTTAATAGCAACCCCAATGTGAATTTCATATTCTGGATTGCACAATACAGTGTCAACAAAAAGTTGTGGCTGATGATTCAAGCTGTTTCCAGGACATGAGGAAATTGCAAATTGTATATCCTATATCTGCATATAAAATGAATTTGTTGACAAGGAGACTGTTTAAACAATTATGGGACATACACAGAAACACAAATGGAAAAAAATATGGAAGAAGTTGATAAGGTATCTTTGTTTGTCAGCCAACTTGTTTTTACTTTCAAGTTTCAACTGATAAATTATTTTATTATTATTTCTATTTGAATCTTTTGTTTAAAAAGTTTTTCATACTCTCATTATGTTAGTATTTATTGCTGTAATATACTAATATGTAATATCAAAACCAACCGATAGAGAAAGCCAAACTGATGATTAGAGAACTTTCTCTCGACCGCATTGATATTGCCAAGGAACTAAATATAGTATCCAAGTATTTTAAAACTAGAATCTTTTGATGTTAACTTCCTGAACAAGAGCTTAATTTTACACATTGTTAACTGAAAAATAATTACTTCCTCCGCAAACTGTTACATATTATCCCTGAAATGTTATGTCCATTTACCAGGAAAATGAATTAACAGTCTAGCCCTCAAATGAAAAACTGTGTGACATAATTATCTTGCTATAATGGAATTACATGTCTTGGACTATTGCCCCCAAGGAACCTTTAGTAAAGGTTATTCAAACAGTTCTGGATACATATTATAGAGACTGTCAACACTGGCATTCTAAAACTGGTGTTTGTCTCGATATTAATATTAATTAAGTAGTGTAGGTAAAAAGGAGGCAACAGTCCATCAGACAATAGGTTAACGTGAAAGGCAAGTTGGAAATGTATGAGTAAAAAAAAAAAAAAACTCCAGTTTTAACACGGAGAAATGATGGGAAATCCATACTGCAAGTAATAATTATCTAGTAGTCTCAGGACTATATATATATATATTTACCTTGGCTCAGGGCTAGTTCTTTTTAGTAAGTCAGCTTGGTTTTACAGTGTAAATAGAAGCTTTATAGGAATATAATTATTATTTGATGAAAATCTGTAAGTAGTCTGCTCCTTGTTATAATCTGCTGATAAAGAGAAAGGGTGGGGCAAGATCTAGAGTCTTATTCCAGTATTAGAGCCATCATTATGTTATTATATTTATGTTTTAGGTTTCATAGGTCATGTGTTTGAATCTTGTGTAATGTGCTCTTATTGCATGCAGGGCTCTTCTTGCATCTGGTGAAGTCTTCAGGCAAAACGCAATTTTTGCCTGTATTTCATATTACGTCAATCCTTCCGTAGGAAAGTAACAGTGACTCAATGATCAAGTCTTGGTATATTGCAGGATACCATTTTCCTTCTTTAAGGAAAGGAATCTAGATAGGGATTGATAAAAAGTTTTTAAATTCATACTCTATATGCATATCACAATAGTGTCATAAATTAAAATTAGGTTTTGTTGTCTGAAAGCCCTTTCTTTTCCACATCATTCTGATGTTAATAAAAAGTCTAAATGCAATTTTGTTATAGAAAAATGTGTATTTAAAAACATGTTATTATAATTGTTATTATTATTATGTTAAGTTTTAGTATAATTTCCATGTGTTTCTACACATTTCAATAGAACTGCTTAGGGCTACAGTAAATTACCATTTGCTTACTGCTATTCATTACATCTCCATTTATAGCTTGATTTAATATCATGATTACATTCATGATATATTTAATGGAATATGAGGACTGCATGTAACATTACATGGTAAAAACGAAGGGGAAGTGATTTACCTTTGTTGCAGTTATCTCAGTTGGATAAAGTGAAGTGGAATGGTTTGAAGGCTGCTGTCACTGCAATATATTGATTGCTGAATAAACCAAAGCATGAGAGGTTTCATGTCATCAGATGCAGTTAGTCTGTCTTGAAAAATAGAGCAGATCATACCTTCCAGTAGCTGCTCTGAGTTTTGAATTGCTGCATGATCATAGGTAAAGGTATATTTATATGCATAAGATTTGGATTTTGGTAAGTTTTCACACACACACACACACACACACACACACACACACACACACACAGTGCCTGCCAGGTGTCAGGATGGCTTTTTAACAAGGGTTTCATTGCAGAGAAGATAAGATTTGAATGTTTTAATATATATGTATTTCAGCAGGACTCTTCAGTGGAACATGTATATCCTGCTGATCCTGCAAATATGATATGTACACAGTGGATTATCTGGTTGCTGTGTACCGATAGCATTGTGGTCAATATTTGCCTTCTATGGGGCTTGATGGAGTTCGTTTAAATGGCACATTGGGAAACATTTACCTGGCAAGATATATCGATTGTGTAATGGTTGAACACAAAGACTACTTTAAAAAAGGTTTAAAACGTGTAACTTACAGACACAGCTAGTATATAGATCATATGCAGGTGATTATGAACTTAAAGAGTGAGCAACACATGGCTAAACACTTGCTGCCCGAATATACCAGAGGAGTTCTATTTGCTGAATTAAGGCACGCTAGCAGAGTATTTGTTCTCGTCAAATATTGATTTACACAATCTATAAAATTTGGCAATGAATAAAGAACTATATTTTTCGAAGTCAAAAGAGAAAATGCATAGGGCAAAAACTCTTTATGCCAGCAACAAAATAGATCTGCAGTGGTTTAAATGGATATTGATAATTGGAATAAAAATTGAAATTGATGTCATGTAATTTCTGTAAGACAATGTATAACAGGTTGAATCAGAAGTTTTATAGATATGCAATGCTTAGGTTTTATATGCTGTTTGTGAAGTAAAATTTGCATTACTACTCAGATTAGAGCTCCAAATTTACCAGCATGATATGTCAGAGATGATTGGGGTGTATTAATGGAAAAGCACAGCTGCATGAATGTCCCTGATGATAGACAAAACGATCTACTAAAACACTAACAATGCATCATCACTTTCACATATTCCACAGTTGTTATGTTACACTGTTCTCCTTTTTTTTCTCCCTGTAGAGCAACTGGTACTTTTGAGAGATCAGCCAGTGATGCTTATCTGGAGGATAAAGATGGATGCAATGGAAGAGAACCAGTAGTTATATTGAACAAAGATGGAGATCAAAGTGGAGCCAGACAATCACTGGATCGAAGTAAACTTACACTGGACAAGGACCTGCTAGAGGTCCCAACACTTACACAAAGTGGGTAGGTATTATTGTTGAATTTGAATCCAGCCAATGTATCATATTTCAGGTTACAACTGCATTTGAAAAAATAGGAAGCAATTATGCAGACGGTTAAAACCAGTGGAGTGAATTATTGGAATGGATACTTTTACAAATAAATTTAGGAAAAATTGCTGTCTGGACAGTTATTTATTGCCATATATTGCAATTATGATACATCTATGTTTGATCTTAAATTTTGATGGTAATAAAAATGGGCTCCTATTCCTTTAGATAGATAAATTAATGTATAAAATTAAGATGTCACTGAAGAGAAGTACTAAACTGAGTGTTTAAATCATGTAGTATTTTTATGTTGGTAAGAAACCAGCAGCATGCTACAAGATGAACTATAAACATTGATATCCATAAAATCCAATATTATGAATTTAATATAAGAATGTCTGCCACCTACACCATCTGTTCTAGTTCACTTGGATATTGATTTTAGTCTGAGTTACATTAAGTAACCTGTCAGTTAAAGAAAGTGGTATATTACATGAGGTTTTTGTTATTTCCCTTATTCTTATAATATAGCACATGCTTCTAGTCAAAGGCACATGTTATATACTTTAAGATAATGAATGAAGGAAGGAAGGACAACATGAATACCTTTAGTTGAAATATATTTTTAAGTGAAGTGCAAATGTAGCATGTTTTTTACAAATTAATTGCCCTTTTTTTCTTTGTAAAGAATTCCATAGAATGAATGAAGAGAACTATATGTATTTTAGTTATCCAATCGTGTTGCATATTGAGCAATTTTTTTATTGTCAAATACCTGTAAACAAATTTTTGACAACACTGGTGATCCTATATTCTTCTTACCATGTAATCTTCCATTTCTTTCATTCTTTCATATTGCATTACCTTTAATTTCTTTGTGTTCAGAGATAATTAGATATTTATCTAGTAAATGATGCCCAAGGTTATATTTTTTGAGCTGTACACAATCCCTCCACAGACACAATCTCATCTCTTGTCCAGCCTTTTAAGCCTAGTAGGAAATAATCAATAATAAATAAACTCAAAAGGTTGCCTCAATTTCATACCATGGAAAATCGATCTGATGGCTCAGTGACAGAGCCCAATATAGATTAACAGCCATCTTCTCTCACCATTACTGCACAGCACACATCTTTTACAAAAGTAAAAGTCTCCACTTCTATGATGTGGCTGCCATCTTTTTAATGGCAACTTTGATTTTTTTATTTCTTTCATTATACAGAGCAAATGTTTTGTTGTAGATACATGTATATTGAAAAGGTCATTGTAAGTATGTATAGTTTTCATGCAACTGCAAGCTGTTAAGGCAGACATTTAGCTTGCAATGGAAAGCCATGTTGAAACTCTCTCAAGTACTTAAGTCTTGTTGCAAATAGACATTTTACGGATAGTGATGTTTATTAAGGGGAATTAAAAAGTCTGTTTTGAGGTCACATTCATGATACAAAATTTTATATGGATTAAGTTTTCTAATATTAATCAGTGTCATAGAATTAGTTAAAAGTCTAGACAGATATGTGAAGCTTAATTCAGTTTCTTTGTAATATAGCAAATTTGTTTACATGTTGTGACATGAAACACATTTTTGACACAACCATAAATACTAATACTGTATTCATTCACAAAGTAATATAATCTAGCTTATACTCACTGTGGCTCTAAATCTTTATTTCAGCAATCGAGGAGTGTCATGTAGTGCTCCTGCAACTCCAGACTTGGAGACAGTCAAGATCTCAGTTAGAGCCAGTGCCCCAGATCTAATGGCTATGAAAAAGAAAAAGGCAGATGGATCTAGTAGGTTGGTAATTTTGTTTTCGGGATGTGCTTTTATTATTTTGGGGAAGGAGTGGTAGCTGATTTAGATTTTGATACTTGGGTAAGGTCCAGTTGTAGATAAAAACATTGGGTTTTGCAGCTGGAGAAATTTGCCAAAAATTGTGTTGTTATTACTTATTGTGGAATTTTTTAATGCAAAATGTTTGCATCCCACTGACCAGAAGAGGATATGGAAGAATTTTGCTTTGGTATGAATGATTCTGCCATAAGCAGATTCATGCAAATTTAATGAGATAATTAGTATTCCATTAACACCACCTTGTCTAATCTTCTCAATGAAAAAAGATAAATACACTTTAAGTGCTAATCCTAAGCCATGACTACCACCATCATTATAAACATGGTTATCCTGGGGATTTTATCTCCTTTTCTCCCTGACTGGTTGGATTATTAAAATGAACACTATATTGATCTTTCTTGTCCTCATCAATTATTTTCTCCTAAAGTTTGAATTCAATTTATCCTTCCATAGATTTTAAAGAAAAGGGAATCAAAATATTGTTGGAACATTTCATCAAATTAAGATCCATTGTCTTTGTATTTACTTCAATTCTGTAAAGCAAAATACAAACCCCACAAATACAATCCTTCCTGCAGAATACTATTTTTATGCAGGATTAATATTGACTTGCTTTTCACTGAAATGCTGTGTCATCTTTATACCCTCTATGAATAATTTTGTATTTTAATTTTTTGTTACAATTAATGCAGCTCTAAATGGATTACATTTAAAATGTAATGTTAATAAAAAAAAACTAGCTTTCTTTAAATTTTGTATCTTACCTGAAGCTGAAAGAAAAACTAAAACTTTGTTGTGGAATAGGGATGCAGGATGGAAGGTTAACAACTTTTATATGGATAGGTTGAACAAACTTTAAAGTGCAACTAGGTAGGTAAAAATAAACTGTAGAGGGCATCTGCTGCATCCCTACTTCAATCTGTGTCTGTTTCAATAAGTAATATAACTATGAGTACAGTTTTGTATAAAACCTCAAGTATATTGGAATGGAATATGAAACAATAAGGTGTAGAAAACCACTGTTTGTATATTTTTAGGTCTTTAGAAAATGGGGAAGGATCTGTTACAGAATCCACTGGAAGTTTAGTGAGTCAATTTTATGAAATTCTTAATAAAGTGAGTTATTTTTTACACTACTGAAAACATTCATGTATGACTGTGATAATTGGTCCAATACATGACCATTTGATCAGTTGCCATGGATAATTCTTCTTAAGCCACATGTTTAGCAAAAATATTCTTGGAAGTTACCTAATTTTAAGTCTGTATAGATGTTTATTCATTTTTTATTGCTAGACTAGTCATTGTTTTAAAACATTTTTTCAGACATATATGGCTGTTCCTCGAATGAGTCGCAGAAGAAACCAAAAATTCCACAGGCTATTTCCAGACATTCCACACAATGAACATGCTCTCAATTGTAAGTGTCAGATTTAGTACCATTGAAAATGAATCTACACATGAAAAGATGTTTTAAAATAGCACAGTAAAAAATCAGAGAATTCAGTAAAAATCAATGTTAAATACGGTCGTAAAGGGATGTGTCATCGTCTTGTTGCACATTATTTTTTTCTTCAGATTATTCCTGTGCCCTTGTATCAGACATTCTTATACCAGGGAGTCTTTATGTGTCTGAAAATTGGGTGTGCTTTCATTCTAAACTCTTTGGACAGGAAAAACAGGTACGTCATTTGAAAATAATGTTTCCTTGTTTTTTTCCCTAGTACATATACCGATCCATGTGTTTCAAAGCAGTCCCAACCCCTTCCGAAAGTGACACAGAAGTATTTTTCTTGCCCCTCCACCCATTCCATGCTGTTTTATTTATCATTCCTTTTTAGGTTCTCCTAGTCTTTCTTATTATGATATCATGCTGCTATGTATATGAACTTATTGATTATGTATTGATTAGCTTAGGAATTCTGAATGTACACTACTATCTAAAGGGTCATCTTTACACTACTTGATAGACCTTTTGGTGGGAGTTTCTTTCCTTAAACCATGCAGTAGCAGCAGAAATAAGAATGAGCAGTTAAAAGGTTTTAGCAGTTTTGTCTTGTACAAAGCAGCTTATCCAAGATTAGCTGAACACTTTTATATTGTGAACCTGATTTAAATCTTAATGGTTTTTATGTATGACATCATTTATAGTAGAGAAGAGTTCCTTTGTAACATTCTCATAAATAGATTAATTCACTCTTAATAGACACTTAGCTCTACAATTTTGTGTTACATAGTGACATGAGTATTATGCATTCATAAATAGTGATCATTATATCAGTGCATGAGTGTCATTAAAGGTAAAGTAGGCAATATGGTAAGCAGAAAAACTCTACTTGTGAGGCATTTTAAAACCTGGGAATACTTGAGAAAGAGTTGAGCTGGGTCAGCTTATAAGAAAAATAACCCTCTCATGTGCCTTTTGGAGGAGTTAGTGAATTGGTTACCCGAACAAAGTTGCTAAAGAAAATACCCTGTATTCTGTAGCTTCAAAAGGAACTTGAGCTGGAAACTTTATAATTTTATCCCCTTGAAGTTTAAATAACAGGTGTTTGCAGCATATTGGTATGTTGATCAAAGTGTTGCCATGGAAACTCTAGCACAACACTGTTTTCTGGTACATCAATTTCCAAGGGGATAGCTGTAGTTAAATTTTGGATGGAAATTATTTGTCCCTGTCCCAAGTCCCCTGTCATGAAGGACCTCTATGCTTGGTCTCACATTTTTCTTCTAGAAATTCTTTTTATTGATATAACATGTTTTAGTCATCTGATGCTTAATTTTAAACCCATTGCATTCTGATAAAAAAGAGGCAAACTAAATTTGTTTCTGAAATACATCTAATCAAAATTGGCATTATCAAAGAGTTTCATTTTTTCCTTAATTTGGTGATGAATATCTTAATATTTGACATCTCAATGGTATAGGTTTACAATTTCCATGCATCTATTTTGGACAGACTTTATCTTTGGGCCTTATAAATGAAATAGGTTCGAGTTGTTAATTTGGCATTTGTAATCACAAATCTATGGCTTGAGATCACAAATGCCAATTATCATTTATTAGATTTGACATTGTCACTTTAGATTTTAAGTGACAGACAGGTCAATAGTGTAGCAGTAGTGTTCATGTAGGTATGGTTGACATAAGAACAAAAAGAAATGACAAAGAATTATCAAGTTGAAGATAATGACTTTGCAAATTTGATGATTAAATCTGCATGAAAACTGGTTTTACAAGTGTCAAAATTAATGGAGAAACCCATTTGAAATGTAATTTCACTTCTGTTCTTTGATTATTTCAGATTATTGTGTCATTTTCCAATGTCAGCCAGGTGACAAGAGAGAGAACAGCTTTTATCATTCCAAATGCTATAGGTATCTCAACTGTCAAAGAAAAGGTAAATTAGTGTATTTACTTCATTATTATTATAAAAGATAATAGCTAGTTCATCTGCTTCTTACTTGGGTTTAAATATGTAGTAAATAGTTTAAATATGCAACAATCCATTTGATTTATTAGCTTTTATTGTACATTTGTTTTGTTTATTTACATATATGTAAGCAGAGTCATTCTTCTATTTTTAGCATGTGTTCGGTTCACTGATGTCAAGAGATTCTACTTACAAGTTCCTGACTTATCTGTGGAAAAACTGTAAGAACCAGCAAGATCCAGCAGAAATCAATGAAACTGTAAGTAATAAACATCCATTTGCATCATTTTTTTTTTGTAAAACACAAGTAAATACTGCCCAATGGAACCTTACGAGCATATCACTTAGTAGCTATTTGTGAAAGTTTGTATAGAGTTTCAGTTTGGTGTTTAAGTATCGTAAAATATATATTAAGAACCAATTCCAACTGTAATTCTTGTTTTGTCACATTCCTCCATGGCTGGCCTGTAAAACCCTTATTTGTGAAGGCTTATATTGTCACTAATGATGTTTGATTTCATAGAGTATGTGTTGTCAAATTTTTCATTCCCATATTTAGATGCTTGTTACTTTCAATTAGATTTGATAGATCTACTGGACTGGCAAAGTGACTATATACATACATAATTAATGGAATGTATACAGTTTATCTATCACATGATATGACGATTAAGTGAATAGGAAATGTCCCTTTCTTTTTATGTAGAGATATACATATAACTTTAAGAAATCTTGTATTATAAGTTGATTAAGCTTTTTTGTGTAATTAACTTATAATTAGTTGTACACATTTTTGTTATTCAAACCCATGGACTTGATATTTTTGGAAAAATTGAATAACAAATGTTGTTTTATTCTTCAGGTGTTTGCAGATGAGAGTTTTGAAAATCCAGAAGAAGAAGAAAGTAGTCTTGACATAACAGAGGAATCAGATTTTGATCTCAAGACATGTGAGCAATGTGGTGTGTCAGATTGTGGGCATGTTAAACTTACAGAAACAAATCAGTCCAAAACAATTCAACCAGTCAAAGCAGAAACTGTGATGGAAGCCAAATCGTGTACATGTGAGTGTATATTATTGAATGATTATAATAATTATATATATATATATATAGTTCATGTTTTTTTAAACACAAGTTTCATATATCCCACTATTTCTGATATTTTGCCCTCCCTTCTTTCTCAGCCCTGTCAGATCCCAGTGTAAAGTTTTCTTTGTGTGGATGGCAGAAATAAATATGATGAATTATCATGCATTTTATTTGTTCCTTTTCAGACTTACGAAGTCCTTACAAAGCATTATATAGTCTGTTCCAAAGCATATGGGCACTGCCAAGACTTCATTTTGTTCTTGTTGTGTGTTCATTATTGTAAGTGTTAGTTTGCTTTCATTGATATTTGTATTGCTAATATGAAATTAACATGTACATAGTTATGAATTTGTGTACAAAATGCATAACATCATTTCTTTTGAAAATTGATTGTAAAAAGTGAGTATGGAGCACCATTCTCTCAAAAAATCAGTTGGCATACTGTATAAATTTAAACCAACTCATGCATTCTATTTCAACTCATGCATTCATACTTCAACGTGTGGATTATACTTTCAACTCAGTTAAACAGTTATGCCACCATCTTACACCAAGTTGAATGCGGGTGGTCAGTGGCATAATTTTTCAGATTGCTATATGACAGTACAAAACAATTTTGACCTGCTAAATGTGTGGGTTGAAATATAGATTGCAAGAGCTGCAGTACAATGCGAGAGTTAGTTTATGTAATTACAGTATGTTAACTAATCTTTTGTGAGAATGGTGTTCCATAAGTGAAACTGATGATTTTTGGTTATCTGAGATAAACACAAAAGCAAGTTTTAATACTTTTTTCATTTAATGGTTTTTATAATAAATTTATATAAAATTGTTGTAATTTTTCAGGGCGCTTTTCTTACTTGTATCAGGTGCAGTTCTTACTTATAAAATATTCCGTTTACAAGCAAAGATAGAGGGCAGCAGGTACTTGTGGCACCATCAACACAGTGACCGGGGGTAAGTTTTAGATGACAAAAACTTGATTATTCATATTCAATTACAAGAAGTTGAACACATAATGATGTATGATTGAATTGAACAACCTAGCTTATTTTGTGTTTGAAACTTTTTTCAGTCGTCTTATTTGTTAAACAAAGATTTAATATAGCAGCTGTCATTTACATTTCAGTGAAGTAATTTCCAGTTATATTTAAAGCTGCATTTACCAGTAATACTATTTTGCTTTCTTTTACTCTAGCTCAAAATACTTTCAAGATGCCTACTACCTCCAGACAGAGTATCATGCTGCCACTGTAGACAAACTCCATTCTGTTTTGCGTGCCAATGTTAAACTTTTAGATGAAGTAAGTATACCTTACTAGCATTGTTTTGAAAAAAAAAAAAAAAATCTCAGTGAATGTATACTAAATTTATTGTAATTATTTGAATAAAAATGTAGGAGGTTCAATTTTAACTGTACTAATCCTCAAATACCTAATACTACTAAGATGGAATTTTACATCTTTCTTTTTTTCTTTTGTCCTCAGATGCATTTATCATTAAAAAGTTTGCAAGACAGCAGTGGTCAAACTTGTAGAGAGAGAGTGAAAGCAGACAACCAGCATGGCACAACGTGACCATAACTTTAAAGACAGAAGCAAGAAAATGTGAAATATATAAAGACATTGTTGTTTTGACTTTTGGTGCAATGAAAAGTTAACAATCAGTTACTAAACAGTACAAGTTGCAAGATTTTGCATAGATAAAGACTGTGATAAAAAAGATAGACATACAGACAGTTACAAGGAACAAAAATCCATTACATTTTTTAATATATATGTTATTTGCATCTATATGAAGCAATTGCAGAACAATAATGGTGGGGTTTAGCAAGTTGTGGAAGTATTGGTACTTAAAGTGTAGACCATGAAGAAATCCCAGGAAGATGTGGAAACAGCTGTCTGTTTTGATATGTCAGGGTTAACAGTATAAATTATTATAAGAATTATGTAATTTATGTAAAGAGTATTACATATATTAATACATATATGTTTTGTTTTTATTTGCTCTCAGTTTAGTGTATACCATTATATCTATTGATGTATACTTCATCTATTAACATCATCTTGGTTGTGAATCCATTTTTAGTTATTTAATTTGTGTAACTTACAGCTGAAAAAGTTTATTTTATTTTGAATTTTTTCCACAGAAGGCAGTAGTGAACTTCATATTTTCAAAATACCTTTATCTAGCATTGCAGTCCTAAGTTTTCAACGTAAATTATCAGACTGGTATTGGTAAAATGTGTTTAAAAACAAAGTGTAGTCTGTGAGAACAGTTTCATTAGCTCTGTATGTATCAATTCAAATTATTGTTTTTCTTTTTATCAAGAGCTTGTAAAATATGTGGGTATTACCTCAAATATTGGAGGTAATACCCACATATTTTACAAGCTCTTGATAAAAAGAAAAACAATAATTTGAAAGTGTAGTCTGTATGGATATTTTATTACAGAAGTATACATCATGCATGTTTATTAGGAAGTGGAAAACAATGTGATGATTAATTGCTTCACAATCTTATAATGATTACCTTTTAATGATTACATTTTAGTTCAATTGCAGAATGTTTTGGTGGTGATATTATGATGAACTTGGTGCTTCTATTTGTATTCATCAAAGTGTCACCTAATACTTTTTCTTTCAAATTAGCAGCACTTTTCTTTATATCAGTTACAACAGTTAATTACTCCATTAGTGTTGTGTTACATATTTCCAGTGGCCATTCAAGATTACTTGTTCAGGTCTATATATACTTGTAAGCATTCTTTTACTTTGCCCTGTTTTACAGTAAGAAACAAACTTACTCATACGTCCTTGAAGCCATTTCATATATGTGTCTTGTTTGATGGGATGTAAAGTTAATATGTAGTTGACATACTTAGCATCCTAAAATCATGCACCAGCCAAGCAGAGCAGAAAAGAACCAGTCTTAACAGAATACTTAGTGCACAGTCATTTAAATTTTTTGACATTGTGACACTTACACCTGGGTGCTAATGTTATAAAAAGCTGGTGGAAGTTAATTTGAACCAGAGTTTCTAGTGTTATTGCTAAGAAAGTTTACACCAACTTTTTTCTAACTGCAAACTTGATTAGCGTGCTGAGCATGCCTCAAAATCTTGTTGGAATAGGAAGTACAATTTTAATCACAAAATTTACGTGCTTAAATACTGAATTGCGATGCATACTTCTTAGTTTTAGTTATTATCATGTTCTCAGTCTCTTTATGGTTGTAACAGGGCTGTGATACAGCTGGACTTTGACTTGGTGATGTAGGTGGGATAAAGACCGATTTCCTTAAGCAGGTACTTTAGGAAGTGTGATAGCCATTTTTTGTCTCATCCTGTCTATAGAGCAACAAAGATAAACAAGACGTATTTATTAATAGGATATAAACTATGAATTTATAGTATATTGTGGTAACATTACCCAGAGAAATTGTTCTCTTGACATTGATAGCCTAGTTGTTAAAGGGAAAAATGTTATATTACGTGAACAAGTAATGTAAACATTTTCCACAAAGCTTTTGTAAGAAATGTAGTTTCTAATTGTTTCATTAGTTTGGTTACAGCTTGTAAGTGACTTGTTCATTCTTTTAAATATTTATATGTTCAAGTGCCCATTTGTTTAACTTTTCAGTAAGTGTTTAAGTACTTATGGGAAATGCAATATAAACCTTAAAAGGAAACCAGTAATCAATTTGAAAAAAAAGAAAGGAATTTTAGATGTAGTGTATGCTTATTGAACAATACAATTTGTTGCAGAATACACATTGTAATGTTAATTCATCAGCATTTAACCAGAAATTGGAAAATAAAAAGTTGTGAATAAGTTTCTAATGAAGTTTCATTGTGATGAAAAAGCTTTATTGTTTAATATCATCACCTTATTTTTGAAAAGATGACAATTGATTGCACAAAATTATTATCTCTAAAAAAATTCTTTTCATATGTTTTTTTTTTGTTTCGTGTTAGGTAATTTCTTTTAAACTGAATCATTTGATATATAAAAACTTTGAAAGAAAATTCTCAACAACACTAATGCTGGATCTGTGGTTATCTATTCTTCAATGTAATGGTAAAAATCTAAAGGACCCTATATGTTTTACAAAAAAATTTATTGAGAACAATAAACCAAACATTACAATAAGTATAATGTGCAAATCAAAGGTATCTGGAGGAAATCTTTGCATAGAAAAGTATATTTATAATACATTTTGACCTGTAGCCAGCAATTTCACAGGGGAAATTCTTTTCTGAAAAAGTGGACTTTTTACCATGACCCTTCATGTACCTAGATCAATTTTTACCCAGTGCGGACTTTTTACTCGTGCGATCTATGGGCCTGCATTTTCAAGAGAACTTCGAACAAGTGCCAAAATAAGAACCTAAAAATATGGAAATCATTCGAGGCAGTCAGCGCTGTATGACAACATTGAAAATGGAGGATTTGTGGGGTGATGTTAACTTTGCAGTGATAAATGCGAAATTCTTATGCACCAAGGATGTCATCTTTCAAAAGAATACAAAAATGGCACACAAAATTTGGTAAATTTGTACAACTGTGTAATAAATGCAGACACTAATTTGATAGAACTGAAGAGAAAACAACTTGGTTTCATCAACACTGGATAGCACTATTCTCTGGATAACACTATCCATTAGATCAAATTGTTATCCTCTGGGCAATTATCCAGTGGGTAAAGTAATGTTAATTAAAAACTAGATGCTTATTTTTGTCTCTGATATTGCTTTCCAGTGGTTAAAAAGCCTGCTATCCTTAGGATAGCACTATCCAGTGTTGATGAAAATGGGTCCTAAACTAAGACCCCATTCCCACAAATTTTAGATCAATCTATCCCTGTGGGGAGTCTCACTAGATTACTGTCAGCTTAGCTGGCATAAGCCTCTGTCCTGCCTACTAAAAGCTGTAAGGGGGTAATTAACTACTGTGCGCGCTCGGCTGACATCAATTTAGCGTGAACCCCCAGGGAGTTAGGTCAATCTAGATGGATCGACCTAAATCTATGGGAATACAGTCTCGGGGAGCACAGACATTTGCCAAGACATAATTAACCATTAATTAATCATTAATAAAAATAATTAATGGATAACCACCAAAATCTTTTAAGTTAACCCATTTGTGACCTATCCTGAAAATTTCATCAAAATCCATCCATAATTCTTTTTGAGTTGTGTGAGCTAGTGATGAACAAACAAAGAATTGGAGCTGAAAACAACTTCTTGGAGAAGGAAAAAAACATTCTTTCAACTTACATTTGTTGCTGCACTTGGCCAGTAAGTCATGAGACAGTGGGCTATCTTAAATGATTAAATAAAATATCCCTAGATCTATACAGGAAAATTATTTTAACAATCATACTGATGTTATTTATGCATTCAAGTATCATCAAAGAGTAAGGTTGATCCATTCACATAATTGGGATATCTAACCTTTTAAACTGAAAAAGAAAAAAATCATTGTCCTTCTTCAAATTTGGCGTGGGACTTGTTAAGAAACTATCAGCTGTCTGTGCAAAAAAACTAAATGTGGGAATGGAGGACCAATTATTTAATGTGGACTCAAGTCAGGATTTTTGACAAGCCTCCTTTGGTTTGACACATCACTATACCAATTAAAGTGTTTGTTACTTTAAAGGGATAATAACTTTTTAGAAAAAAACCAGGGACTAACTTTGAATGTAAAAATGAATTCATTAACCATTGGTTAGTTTGGGAAAATTGTTGTTTACTCCAGGAAAATTCATTTTTTGGCCAAAATAAAGAGTTATTATCCCTTTAAGAAATCTGGTTTGGCTTGTATGGTCATTTTATTGAAAGGACCAGCCATATAGAATTCATGAAAATAATTAAAAATTTGATGCAATCACAGTTACTGATGAATTACCATCATATCATGTTGACACTGCTCTTGCAGACAAGTGGTTCTAAATTTTGAACATCAACTAAATGCCCAGTATATAGAGTTTTAACCATTGAGTTTACATCCTGCACTAGATGTACATGAAATATGCTTCATTATAAAAAGTGCAGCTAAAAATAGCTTTACTAATCATAATTTTCACACCCTGTCATTCTCTTCACCCTGGTGCAGGCAAGGTTCCAAACTCCACAAATTTATGACTGTCCAATTGCTGTATGTGTCATTTTAAAGAATAATATGAGGAACAATAGATCTACACATTAAGAGAACTATAATGTAGCAACTTTGTGCATAAATGTAAGTAAACATAAACGTCTGTTGTGGCACACCCTGTCACAGATTAATATCCTTTCTTGGAAGACTAGAAACTTCATCAGAAATGTCACAACAGAAACCAATGCTAAGCTGTGGCATATTGGATGCTCCTTTAGATTAATGACAAAAAAAGGGCTCATAGCATGCCATGCAAAACAACAACAACAAAAAAATGAGATTGACTAAATGTCTCAGGCAAGAACAATGGGAACCAAAGAGCTTATATGAAATATCAGATTTAAGTGATTAGTTTCAATTAACTTAAGTTAATACTGACATTACAGTGATATAAAAGAAGTAAACAAAGAAATCTGCTGTGAGGAATATATCAGTGCAGCAGATATAAAAAATGTTGATTTCAGGAATATAAAAACAAAATTATCAATGGTTACATGTTTTTAAAGTTATACAAATAATACTGTTATCATAATGTGATTTAAATACAAAACTATATGGCTTTTCATGTCTAGGTTAAATAAAGACATCTTTCCTAGTTTCTAATACAAAATTATTCAACAAAGATAAACTTTCACTACAAAAACAATCTGTCTGTGTTTGGACAATCGTAAGTTTGATGAGTGGGGCTTTTGCAAAGTGTGCAAGCTCGTGGAGCACCAAACTGACCAAAGGAGGTTTTGGCAGCTGGCTTTTCCACTGCTTGAATAACTTTGGGAAATTCCACAAATTTGTGACCTATAGGCTTGGCAACTGTTTTAGAATCAGCCAAAGTAGGCCAACTTTCTGTATTGCATACATTATGGATACTTAAATCTCCAGTGGCTTGCCACACACCTTTGGGTTTTATCTCCCATGACTCCTTTTTACATTGGGGTTCAGCTTCATCTGTATCCGTGAGACTCTTGGAAAAATTGTAAGTTTCATCATTATCTGAATTTAAGATGGACCTCTCTTCCCTAGGGGAACTGGATTTCAAGGTATTATTTTTGTTTTTTTCTGTTATCCTTAAGTGTGGTGGCACATATTTTGGCACGGTTTTCAAATCACAGTTACCTGTATTTCTATTTGAGCCAGTATCAAGATTTTTTTTCTCAGTATCAGTGGGTCCCAGATGACCTGGTGTGTTCCTTATCCAATTGGCAACATTTTTCATCCCAAGCGTAACCTCCTTTGACTCCTGATCCACAGAAATCTGCTTCTGCCCAACTGTCAACTCAGCAGGACTTTGCACTTTTTCACAACCATCTAATTTCTGGGTGATTAATGATTTCCCACCTCTGAAATCTTTTAATGGAGATTTTGCAGTGATATTCTTCTTGGCCGCAACCTTTGTTTTTGGCTCTTTCTTTATCTTTCCAGTTATGTTTGGCTGCCCTTCCCCAATCTCCTTCAAGTCTCCACCTGCCACACACAACAAATTCACTTTTTCTGAAAAGAATAAAAAATTTCATCCAAATTATGTTTTTCACTTAGTCTTCATTACTCTTTTTACAGTGTTTAAGTAATGTCATCCTGCACATATGTTACTGTATCTCAGTAAATTAATTGATCAAAGATAAAAACCTTTTCTTTCCAAGTATTTTCCAATTTCTAAAATGAATCCAGGTTTGAAACCACATTCTTTCATCAAAGGCTTCAGATCAACCAGGTCAATGTGCAAAATAGAATCCTGCAAAAACATAAGACATACAAAGCATTAAAGTCACGTTCAATACCTAGATTTTCATTCCAAGGAGGACTAAAGTCTGAACCTCAGTGAATTTATCAATCAAAGAAAAAAACATACATTCACATTTAGCACCTCACTTTTAAAACACAGGCACCGTGATAAACACTCCATAACCCCCTATCATCACAAGTGCTGTATAGTACATCTTTGCACTTCTAAACCACTTATGAATAACATTACTGGGCTTCGAATGCTGTAACTCTTACCCTAATACCATTTGCCTCAAAGTTCTCTAAGAGATCTTCAAGCTGTAACTCATGCAGCATGTTCTTCACTTCTCTATACTGATCACTCTCTTCCTGGTCATCCCCCGTGTCTTGGTCAGGCTGGCCTTTAATATCTTTATCACTGCCTGCATCTTCATCAAATAGGTCCTCCACAAGTACATCTTCACCAGTCAAGCTGGCACTGCTTTCTTTTTGTAAAGAATTACATAGTACTACTTTTAAGTGGTGAGGGCAAGGAAAACATAGCCATCAGCTGTCTAATAAGTACCATTAAAGTAGACTCAGGTGTAATTTAAGAAAGTCAGGCTGGATATATCGTGCCTAACTAGGTTGGCACTGGTTATGTACTGATGGTGAGAAGCACCTAGCATCAACAGCTGAATTCTATAGCGTATAATGATGAATGATTCATTTGGTCTTTTATGAGACAGAAAAAGATACATAAAGCAGTTATGAATTAAATATGAAAAAAGAAGAACATGAATTAACTTGCACAGCAAAAAAAGGTCTAGGCCAAGAAAAATCAACCAACTCATCTATTTACCAGATTGTACTTCAATTGTGTCATCCTTTGTTTGCTCTTGGCTTTTTGTTTGCCTGCTTTCACTGTTTTTCTGTCCCCATTTTGAAGCTCTCAGTAGCAGCAAGTCGAGGCACTTTTCTTTGTCAGTACTATAAATAAACATATACATATATAACACTAGATTGTGTTTCTGACAAGGTTTTATCTGAGGTGTGACTACAGGTATTTTTGAGACAGTTTAATTCACCTAGGTATTCAAACCATGATAACAAAAACTTATCTTGTTGGCAAACACATAACTATAACTGCCTTGTCAAAACATGAATCTATAAAAATATTCATTAGGCACTATTATCTTTAAACAGTTGTAATTTCAGAGATTAAAGTGGGGAAAATGGGGGGGGGGGGCATTAATACAAGACCCATAAAAAATAGAGTTAATCAGATCCTCAATTACTCACCGCTTGAGTTCTTGAGACAAAACCTTCTCTTTTAACTCATGAAACAAAATTTCCATATCTGAACTTAATTCTTGGTCCATTTTAGGTCCAGCAATGCCTAACACCTTGAAAGCACAATGTAAGTGAAGAGATTCCAATGCACCTGGTTCAAAGTGCTGCCTCTAGAAAAAAAAAAGTCATGTAAGTGCACAGGAAAATAAGGGATGAGAGTCACTAAAAAGTATATTATAATCTTGGCAATCCAATAAAACCTCTATTACACAAAGATTTTTGGGAATCATTTTTTATATTATTGTTGACNAAGAAGAACATGAATTAACTTGCACAGCAAAAAAGGTCTAGGCCAAGAAAAATCAACCAACTCATCTATTTACCAGATTGTACTTCAATTGTGTCATCCTTTGTTTGCTCTTGGCTTTTTGTTTGCCTGCTTTCACTGTTTTTCTGTCCCCATTTTGAAGCTCTCAGTAGCAGCAAGTCGAGGCACTTTTCTTTGTCAGTACTATAAATAAACATATACATATATAACACTAGATTGTGTTTCTGACAAGGTTTTATCTGAGGTGTGACTATTTTTGAGACAGTTAAATTCACCTAGGTATTCAAACCATGATAACAAAAACTTATCTTGTTGGCAAACACATAACTATAACTGCCTTGTCAAAACATGAATCTATAAAAATATTCAGTAGGCACTATTATCTTTAAACTGTTGTAATTTCAGAGATTAAAGTGGGGAAAATGGGGGGGGCATTAATACAAGACCCATAAAAAATAGAGTTAATCAGATCCTCAATTACTCACCGCTTGAGTTCTTGAGACAAAACCTTCTCTTTTAACTCATGAAACAAAATTTCCATATCTGAACTTAATTCTTGGTCCATTTTAGGTCCAGCAATGCATAACACCTTGAAAGCACAATGTAAGTGAAGAGATTCCAATGCACCTGGTTCAAAGTGCTGCCTCTAGAAAAAAAAATTAATATAGTCATGTAAGTGCACAGGAAAATAAGGGATGAGAGTCACTAAAAAGTATATTATAATCTTGGCAATCCAATAAAACCTCTATTACACAAAGATTTTTGGTAATCATTTTTTATATTATTGTTGACAAGATTTCAATTTCACCAAAATAAGTACATAATGCTAGTATAATGCATTTCTATTTTTGCTAAATCATGCATAACTTACCTTTTTGTTGAAATGAATCCATTTCAGTAAAGAGTTGACCAAACACTTTGATATCACTTCACTGACACTGCAAGGTAAAATCAATTATATAATTATTGTATAAAGGAGGAAATTTGTCAGAAGTAAAGAGGTTGACACCAAAATCATATAACTTTTTCTAGTTCATTATCAAAGCAATGCACTACAAGTCAGAGCATAATACATGTACACCTGACGCAAGAACTACTCCTTAAACATACTTTAATGGCCACGATAAAAAGTAAGTACAACAGTACATCAATATGAAACATCCATGTAAGTATAAAAAATTTACCTGTCAAAAGAGATATTAACACAAATAACTGTTAACAGATAGATTATTAACAGAAGACGATTGACTCACCACACCATGATATTTTGAAATATAAAAGACGAATGCAGGTACCATATATCAATAAACAAAACAAAAAAAAAAATGCATAAGATATACAGCTGAGCAGGCTCCAGGGTGACAGTTCAGTTTTCCAAATCACCTAGTTGTTAAAATACAGAGACCAGTACTATAAACAACCAATCAAATTGCAAATGGCATATGGCATTTACCTGTTATCCCATTCATAACAATAGATCTCTCCTAGAACTTGACAATAGCTGGTCACAGTTGGAAGCACTTCATCATTAACAGCTGTCTGCAAAGGCACAATCAACTTCGATATAACCACATACATGTGCATGCAACAGTTATGATAAGAATAAATATATGTATTTTCAACTAATTCACTAAAATACATGCAACATCCAGCACCTATAATTAACACATGGTTCAGTCAAACCTATAAAAAGGTGGTGACTTTATGATTGCCTTAGCAAATTTAACTATTAAACTGTATCTAGAATGCATGCTTCTTACCTTCACATACTCGTTCTGCAATTTCCATACAAGTTCTTTCATGCTGGATGAGAAGTCAGGCAAAGCTAAAAGGCAGATACAGATTTTTTTCAGAAATAAATGATAATAATAATATTCTGAAAGAAGAGTAAAAACAGGGTCTACATGTATACGCAAACTATTTTGAAATGATTTTTTAATTCATGAAAATTCCTACTGGAAAAGTGAGTGAAAAAAAAAACTCTACCATTCCTGGACATGGCAAAGAAATTCTTTATTTCCTAATAAAATGGTAACAAAACTAATATTATTAACTAATATAAATCTAAATTTAATTATAAAGTGGCCATGATGAGACGAAACTTTAACATAACCACTATTCATACATGACAAAAGGTAATTTGATTCTTAAAACAACAGAATACATTCAAACCAAATAATAGCAATTGTCTGTGTCTAATGTGACTTGTGATATCAACATGAATGTCATAACTAATTGGTATGAAACAATGCTGATTTACTCACCTTGGAATTCTTTTAACAGTGTAAAACCCAGTTTGCAGAATGAGTCATATTGCTCAATACACTGCTCTAAAACCACTTCCATGAATAAATGCAGCTCTTTGGGACCTGGAAGGTTCTTCAAAAAACTGTTGACTGAAATACCAAACATTTCAATCACAAATACAGTCTTATATGTTAGCTGACACAAATGATTAAATTATCCTTGTAGGGCTGGTTTACTGGGACCTTTCCCAGGGAGTTTATTCTACTCAATACCTCCTCCTGGAATTGAGTAGAATATAGAACTGATGATTATGTGATTATGTTGGAAATAAGAGAATGCACATTAGTCCCCTAGGAGTTAGTCTGCATTAACTACATTGATTAAATTCATTGTGAACCATCCCATTTAAATCAAATAGTCAGACCTACAAGTGTCAATTGTTAAAACGATGAAAAACGCTAACTTAATACTAAAACAAGGCAGTATTCTGATAATCTCTCTCTCTCTCTCTCTCACACACACACACACATACACACAAACACACAAGTGCACACATGCGTGCACACACACATATTTTCAAAGGCACACTTACCAGGAAACACCAACTCCTTTAACTCTAATATTTTGGCCTCAATGTTTTCAGCAGTTACTTTAGCCACAACCTAAAAATGACATAAATGGATAACCAAAGAGTATCTTAAATTACTAATTAGTCATCAAATTCAGAATGTGTGCTTTTCTTATTTCACCAAATACTATGTTACAGCATATCTATCTATATATTGTTGACAAATCAGATGAAGCCAACTGAAGAATGACGTTTTAAGAACCACAGTTGGCTTTTGTGGGGCAATATTTCTTTTAGAAAGGGCAAATTTTGAGTCACTGTATCACCTTAACTACGCTAGTTCAATTAATAGATCATTAGCCAGAACAAATGAAGACATTACTGTACCACATCAAATTGGACTGTTCATAAATGAATCAATTTTAATTTACTCATCCAACTCTGAAAAATTGCCATGCAGGTCATGACATCTTACAAAATAATTTCCACTTGAAAAAAGTAACCATTTACAGTGTACCTGTTTAACCTTTCTTGAAAATTGATATTTCTGCCACTCATACTCATTTTTCAGTTTTTCTTTTGACCTGGGATCTTGTTGAGATAACTGGCCCTTCCTCTCTTCTTTTTGGATTGAAGACCTCTGTTGCCTTAAGATGTGTCAGAATGTTTTGTTGAGTTTGAAATACCTTTAAGTAATCATGCCATCAATCAAAATAAATATATCTATTTAAAATAATTAACAAGTTTCTTTTCATTATAACTTTACCTTCAAGGATATACTGGTTTTAATAATCAGAAAATCCATGGAGATGTATGGATGCCATGGCAGATATAAGATTAAACAATGACTATGACATTTTCATCGATCCACCCATGCTAATTATTTACTACAAAATCACCTTCATTACTGCCCACATTTGCTTTGTGTACATGTACATCCAAACCAAATTACCTTTCTGTATTTTTTAGGCCAGCACTCGGGTTTCTATTTGTGTGGCTTTTATTGTCAAAATTCGGATAATGTAATGGTGACCTTGCAGCTTTGTGCTTGATAGGCATCTCAGGAGAAAGCTTCATTCTGTCTGGATTACCAGGTGGATTTTCTTTGGATGGACTCAAAGTGGGGAACCTAGTTCCTCTACCTGCAATGAGGGAATGACAATCTCTCAATGATTCCACCACCAAAAGTGTGGATTCTGATGTTAAACATAGATTGTTATGAAATTTAAATCAGTCAGATCAATGCATATCCAAGGAGTTCCAACAGATCTCCTTGGCACATCAAGCCTGGCTATTGCAGAGGTTAAAAATTAATCATAAGTCTTTACTTTATTTTTGTTGTGACTACTATTATAACACATCTGAATAAATCATATTTCTCAGCTATGCCCCATGTGCATGTGTGTGCATGCCTGTCTATGTGCATATCTGTGTGTGTGTCATTAATTGTGTATCTTTTAAAAACAAAAAAAATGCCTTTGAATTTTTGCTCCATTTTTTTCTCTCCTCTAATGCCTCTGATCTCTGAGCGTATGTTTTCCATGATGTTGATATTGGTCTCTGGGCAGTATCCTTTGGCAATAGTAAGATCAGACTGTTCTAGAAAAGAAAAATATGGAATTTATATAGGCATTAATTTCCAATTCCACAAAAAATAACAATATGACTAGCAAGGTCATTTTGTAACTCATGGTATCATCCTAATATCTAATCAAACTGATCAAATTAAAGAGACCCTAAAATATCTTCATGTGACATGTAAAGGCGTACTTGTCTGGCAATTTGAAATCTGCCAGGGTATATTACTTCCTCAGACTAGTGATAATGTGAATATATACTAGTACATGTACAGTACTAAGTAACATATCATACCAATGCTGTGTACTGGAAGGGAAAAAAACAACCTCAAATAATTTCAAACGAATTAATTCCAAATTAATAGCCAGTCTATGTCGTATAAGTTTTGAAGGTAGCTTTATATTGACAATGTAAACTAATTAATGGCAGCATATCACTATAAAAATTGTCTTACCCCAATCTGTGTCTCCTAGTCCTGCTTTCATAATCTCTATTTCTGGATCAGCTTTAACAGTTTCTTCATTATCAGCTAAAATGTTGTACATTTATTGTTAACAAATGCAAAAAAAAAAAAAAAAAAAAAAAAACTTGTATCGGTTGTCATATTTCATATTTAAGTTTTAAAAATGCACTCTGCCTGTTTAATTTCTTTACCTTACCTTACAATTCATTAAACAAATTATATATTTAACTCAAACAATGTCCCCACATTTTTGTTCTTTATTTCTATTCTTTGAAAAACAACTACTCCTCCAGGATGGACTGCTAAAATCAACACTTACATTCTTCTGACTCTTCGTCTTTAAATTTCTTTGGAGCTAGCATTTCCAATTTAAACCCAGGGATGCGGTGGGCTTTTTGGACTGCTTCTTTCTTAGTTTGAACAGAGTCTGCAAAACATTTCAGCATATAACTTCAAAATAATATTTTCTCCGACTCAAGGCAAATATTCTTTTCATAAGTTCATTGTGTTTTGGGAAAAAAACTGTATGAACAAAGTTAAAGAAACAGAGACAAACGAAGACTAAGTGTTACAGTAGGCTGAGCCTGCTCGGTCGCCATGGCGCCTGTTAACACAGACAGCAATATAGAAGTGACTAGAATTAGATAGCAATACTCAAATAAAAAAGGCAAGAATGTGAATTACTGAGGATGGTCATCTTAAAGTTTCCAGATTTGTGTTCTTACTAAATTCATTTCATCTTTAAAGCTGTGACAGTACAACAGTTTGTCTCTCAATAAAGGTTACTACCATTTCACATCTAAACACTAACCTTTGTTTGATAAACTTAAGTTCTCTATGGCCTGACAAATATAATAAAATTTCAAGATTAATGTTTTCAGATAAAGTTACAGGTTATGAAAAAGGCAATGCAAATTTGAAAATCAATTAGAAAAGAACATTTAAAAGAAATATAAGACAAGACCATATAATCTTCTAAATATAAACTTAATTAATGCCATATCATAAGTCAGAATGACTCACCACTGCTACCTCCTCATCCACCAAAACCTGGGCAACAGATTTCTTCTGTCCAAATTCGTCCTGACTGTCAATTCAAAAGTGTTTGAAATTAAATAAATTACATAACACTTTGGATACTGATATTAAAAATATTAACAGCTACTTGGTAAACAAATTTTAAGACCAGTCATGCTTATGATGCTAAAATATATTGAATAAATTTACCTCAAAATAATGGCAACACTTGCAACATCTTCCTGATAATCTAACCATATGGCAGACAGAGTTTTGTTGAAGACTAGCTTTGAGAAGGTTTGGGTCGCACGTGATATCCAAGAACTAGCAATCTTCAGATATGAACATAAAGTCATATTATATTAGACAAAAAGACACAAGTTGGATAGTTTGTTTGAAATAACTGACCAATCTGTAGTAAATACTAACTTAATACTAAAGTAGTTACCATATGCTGGCATTTTCCAGTTTAAACTTGCTCAAAACGGTGGTTCAAAAATTTTAATTAAGACCAAGATTTGAATCTACCTTTTAAAAATCTGTACAAAAAAAAGCATTTTTCTTTGATAAAATCCAATAACAAACTGAAATAATGACTTCTAACATGTCACTTTCTGCAAAATGATATTTAAAAACACCAATCAGGTCGTATCTTAACATGAAAATCAAAGGCTCACTGGTTTGACTCCTGCTAATCTACATCTGAAGGCAAAAGGAGCAGGTTCAGCAAATTCCTCCGGCACTTTATCATAAACATCATCTACAAATAAGATCTCAGTGGTACCATAATCAATATGAAGAACATCTATGTCATCATTTGCTCTGAAAATAAATATTGATAGAATCCAGGATTATAGCTTTCTAATTATATGTTGATTAATGAGTTCACTTCAATTCCGATTGAAAGTGAATGAAAGATAACCAATCCTTATAAATATTACATTTTTGAAAGTAAATGTTCTGGATTTGTTTCCAGTGCAAAAAAAATTTAAGCACAAGTGTTCCTCCTTTAACATGTTGTATCATATTTCTATTTTATTCCCACAATGCATTAAAAAAGTTCCTGTAACAGCAGGTGTTTCACTTTAGCTGTCACTAAGCAGGAAATGTCTTTCTAGCATGCTCAAGATATGATAAGGTAAAATTTCTACTGTTTCTCTCTAGAACAGAAATAAAATCACCAAAAGCTAATAACATAATAATAATAATAATAATATAAATAATAATAATAAATAAGAAATTTATTTAGAGTCTAAAATCCATAAAAATAAACTTTACAAATAAAATGTAGACTTTACAAATAAAATGAATATAAACGGGTACTGTAAGGGTTTATTATCATTTAGATAGCAAAAATGTTTTTTGCTGCACCTAATTATTCAATAATGCATCTACCTTTGTGTTGATTTTAAAAAATGAAATTCCCCTTGAAATATATAATATATCTATATAAAATAAAAATATAATCAATCGCACACATTAAAATATCTATTACTTATTGGTTTAAAACTATTTTTGGTTCATGTGGGAGTTGGCTTTAGCGACCTTAGGTGTAATGCTGACATAGGCAAAAACAAATGTTCGCTGGTGTCCAGGGTCACTCATGACTGATTTAACTTTCTTGAGCACTCATCTGTCATACAAACTTTTCATTGGTGTTGATCCCTACCCTACAATGCAACTGGCAGTTTTCACTACACTGTTGTTGTCTTCCACTGCTGAACTACCATACCAGATGGTGAAAGAGAGTGTCAATACACTCTTAATCACAACCAAGTAAAATTTTACTAGCAGTTCTTGGTTGCCATAGAATAGTGCCATAGGAAGTGAAGTCTTTACTAAGCCTTACAAACAAAGAAATTTAAAACATGTGACTTAAAATTTTCTATTTTCTACACCTCTCACCTGTTGACTCTAGCAATCTCTGCTCTCTTCCAGGTATTGTCAATTCCACTGTGAACCAGCACCAACTGGCCTACATGAAGCTGGGACACATCACAACCCACTTCATACAGGCATTCACAGTACTCATGAAGTTTCTTTTCCCAAGCTTCTAACTGACTGATATCTTTAAAAAATGTTGAAATTATTTTCTTATTTTGAAAGTATTTGGATACTTGTATATAAATATAAACCTTTAAAATCATACTGAGACTAAAAGGAATTGTTATGAGAACACACAGTTGAAAGACAAAACTGCTGTTGTCAAGTTGGTAGCTATGAATTTATCAAAAATGTCAATACTGTATTAAAATAAAATGCCTTATTAAGTTATTTGTTAGAATAGGTATATCACAATCCGCTAGGAGCACCACAGTAGTAACTATCCAGGGGCAGTGAAGTGCAAAACCGAGACTGGCCTGCTAACAGCTCACCCATGACATCCGTTTTTTTAAATCTCTCTTTTAGCGCCATGTTAATAAACTAATACGAGCCATTTACTAAATAAGCTGTAAATGAAAGAGTAAATTCCCGTCACGTGATTTTCCCGTGTTACAGTCTTAGAGAACTTTGATTTGAGGACGTTTTGAAGTTTTGCCTCGACAAAATGTTAAAAATTTTAGATAAGTACTGCATGGAAGTTTTTGTAATTTATGCCATGTTCATGAAATATGCAATATTATGGCAAAAAATCATGAAATTGAACCATGCGAAGTATAGTTTATTTGATGCGCAATATTTATAGTATGTGATCTGCACGGAAATCATCCCAGCCATGTGCTTTTGCGGTCGCCAATTTAGTTTTGTTTCAGGGTCACTAGATTAACACAGAGCTCTAATTGCCTTAATTGCTCACAAGCAATTTAAGCTGCAGCTACAGCTGAGTGATCACTGCTGGTCAGTGGTCACAGGTTTTTAGCTGAAAAGTGTGGACACTTTTGGTGAAATTTTGCAGTTAAAAAACTTCAATATCTTTGTTGCTTGTTGGAATATTTTTAAAATTCCAAAAGAATTAATCTGTTTTTATCATTACCTTTCAGAAGATATTGAGTATTATAATTTTCTGAACAGTTTGAAAATTTTTCTGATATACCTATGTTAGAATATGTTACAGAGAATGAATGGCACCAACATTTAACTCACCATATCCTATCTGTGCAGAAAAATTACTTGGGTCTATTACTTGTGTGACCTTAATGTTCATATAGTGTTCCTCTGGCACACTCTCCATCGCCATTTTGATCAATCTTCCCCTAAGCACTCCTCATCATGTCTTGGAAAAAAATGTCAGGATATAATTGTTATTTGTTAAAATCAACAATTTTCGTCATTGTTTGAAAGAGATATTTCAAACTTTTGATTGTTCTATTAAGTTTAGGTAATAGCAAGCTGATTTACATCATTGACTAACTTTTGCATTATCAGTTGAATACTGTCACTTCATTAGTATAAGAATCGCCTTCCAGCTTTCTTCTTCAATGAAGTGCCATAACACATTTCGTTCCTCTAAATTCGAAAGAATTATCTTAACTGAAGTGCGCAAACTCCACCGGAAATTGCTATGGCGGAACCTGTACGGAAAAATTCTCACGATGTCTGGAAAAAGCTTGCAACGGCCGTGAAAGAGTCAGAGTTTGTTCAACAGGAGTCAATTTATGCTAAGCACGAGCTTTTGGTCAACGAAATTGAAACAACTGATGTTTCTTTGTCCACCACTTTAAGGTAAATGTTAAGTCTTTTTGTAACGAGCTTGGGATTTCGTTTTGACACTGGCAGTAGTAAATATATTAGGTGCCACCCTCCTCCTAGTCGTATGAGAAAACGTGCTCTACTAATATCTTAATTTTTTTAGATATTATAAGTATAATAGTCGACTATTTTAGAGAGTTTTGGACTTTTGCTTCTGCAGATTTCAACTTTCACAGAGCGACGAACTGAAACGTTCTGCGTTTAACAGTGCATTATGATTATTCTTGACATAATTTATTGTTGCAACTTAAATTAACACGCCAGTAGAAATTTGAAATTGAGAAAAATTACTGATTCAACCCGCAATTGCCAGTGCCATGTTGTATAAAAGTGGTTATTTGTTATTAATAAGTGTGTTACTGTTCTTAGATATACAATAAAGACTAATGTACATACAGGATGCATCACAATGACTGGGCATTGTTCCGAGCTATGGGTGATTTTCTTTGGGCAATATTTGTTATGTAGTAACTTACAAATTATTGGCTGTTGGTGTACCTTACTAGTATATAGGTAGATCATGGCAGAACAGAAAAATGAAGAGTGTAGAAGTGGATATTATGAACAGGAGGGTTTGGTTTTGGAGCTTGAGTCAGGCAATCCTGGTAGTTTGAGCTATGTTCTGAGGTAGGAATGTTATATGGTGTCAGCATTTAATGTGTTCCTTTGCATTCCTCATCCACTATAGCAATTTGAAGTGCTTAATTATTATCCCACATGCTCACTTGCATTATATTTATCTCCACACCTAGTTTTAGGCATTATTTTTTGTTTGGACTTTGGGGTCATTCTGGTATTATTGTANCTTTAAGGGTTTATTATCATTTAGATAGCAAAAATGTTTTTTGCTGCACCTAATTATTCAATAATGCATCTACCTTTGTGTTGATTTAAAAAAATGAAATTCCCCTTGAAATATATAATATATCTATATAAAATAAAAATATAATCAATCGCACACATTAAAATATCTATTACTTATTGGTTTAAAACTATTTTTGGTTCATGTGGGAGTTGGCTTTAGCGACCTTAGGTGTAATGCTGACATAGGCAAAAACAAATGTTCGCTGGTGTCCAGGGTCACTCATGACTGATTTAACTTTCTTGAGCACTCATCTGTCATACAAACTTTTCATTGGTGTTGATCCCTACCCTACAATGCAACTAGCAGTTTTCACTACACTGTTGTTGTCTTTCACTGCTGAACTACCATACCAGATGGTGAAAGAGAGTGTCAATACACTCTTAATCACAACCAAGTAAAATTTTACTAGCAGTTCTTGGTTGCCATAGAATAGTGCCATAGGAAGTGAAGTCTTTACTAAGCCTTACAAACAAAGAAATTTAAAACATGTGACTTACAATTTTCTATTTTCTACACCTCTCACCTGTTGACTCTAGCAATCTCTGCTCTCTTCCAGGTATTGTCAATTCCACTGTGAACCAGCACCAACTGGCCTACATGAAGCTGGGACACATCACAACCCACTTCATACAGGCATTCACAGTACTCATGAAGTTTCTTTTCCCAAGCTTCTAACTGACTGATATCTTTAAAAAATGTTGAAATTATTTTTTTTTATTTTGAAAGTATTTGGATACTTGTATATAAATATAAACCTTTAAAATCATACTGAGACTAAAAGGAATTGTTATGAGAACACATAGTTGAAAGACAAAACTGCTGTTGTCAAGTTGGTAGCTATGAATTTATCAAAAATGTCAATACTGTATTAAAATAAAATGCCTTATTAAGTTATTTGTTAGAATAGGTATATCACAATCCGCTAGGAGCGCCACAGTAATAACTATCCAGGGGCAGTGAAGTGCAAAACCGAGACTGGCCTGCTAACAGCTCACCTATGACATCCCTTTTTTAAATCTCTCTTTTAGCACCATGTAAATAAACTAATACAAGCCATTTACTAAATAAGCTGTAAATGAAAGAGTAAATTCCCGTCACGTGATTTTCTCGTGTTGCAGTCTTAGAGAACTTTGATTTGAGGATGTTTTGAAGTTTTGCCTCGACAAAATGTTAAAAATTTTAGATAAGTACTGCATGGAAGTTTTTGTAATTTATGCCATGTAAAGTTCATGAAATATGCAATATTATGGCAAAAAATCATGAAATTGAACCATGCGAAGTATAGTTCATTTGATGTGCAATATTTATAGTACGTGATCTGTACAGAAGTCATCCCAGCCATGTGCTTTTGCGGTCGCCAATTTGGTTTTGTTTCCGGGTCATTAGATTAACACAGAGCTCTAATTGCCTTAATTGCTCACAAGCAATTTAAGCTGCAGCTACAGCTGAGTGATCACAAGTTTTTAGCTGAAAAGTGTGGACACTTTTGGTGAAATTTTGCAATTAAAAAACTTTAATATCTTTGTTGCTTGTCGGAATATTTTAAAAATTCCAAAAGAATTCATCTGTTTTTATCATTACCTTTCAGAAGATATGAGTATTATAATTTTCTGAACAGTTTGAAAATTTTTCTGATATACCTTTGTTAGAATATGTTACAGAGAATGAATGGCACCAACATTTAACTCACCATATCCTATCTGTGCAGAAAAATTACTTGGGTCTATTACTTGTGTGACCTTAATGTTCATATAGTGTTCCTCTGGCACACTCTCCATCGCCATTTGGATCAATCTTCCCCTAAGCACTCCTCATCATGTCTTGGAAAAAATGTCAGGATATTAATTGTTATTTGTTAAATCAACAATTTTGGTCATTGCTTGAAAGAGATATTTCAAACTTTTGATTGTTCTATTAAGTTTAGGTAATAGCAAGCTGATGTACATCATTGAGTAACTTTTGCATTATTAGTTGAATACTGTCACTTCATTAGTATTAGAATCGCCTTACAGCTTTCTTCTTCAATGAAGTGCCATAACACATTTCGTTCCTCTAAATTCGAAAGAATTATCTTAACTCAAGTGCGCAAACTCCACCGGAAATTGCTATGGCGGAACCTGTACGGAAAAATTCTCACGATGTCTGGAAAAAGCTTGCAACGGCCGTGAAAGAGTCAGAGTTTGTTCAACAGGAGTCAATTTATGCTAAGCACGAGCTTTTGGTCAACGAAATTGAAACAACTGATGTTTCTTTGTCCACCACTTTAAGGTAAATGTTAAGTCTTTTTGTAACGAGCTTGGGATTTCGTTTTGACACTGGCAGTAGTAAATATATTAGGTGCCACCCTCCTCCTAGTCGTATGAGAAAACGTGCTCTACTAATATCTTAATTTTTTTAGATATTATAAGTATAATAGTCGACTATTTTAGAGAGTTTTGGACTTTTGCTTCTGCAGATTTCAACTTTCACAGAGCGACGAACTGAAACGTTCTGCGTTTAACAGTGCATTATGATTATTCTTGACATAATTTATTGTTGCAACTTAAATTAACACGCCAGTAGAAATTTGAAATTGAGAAAAATTACTGATTCAACCCGCAATTGCCAGTGCCATGTTGTATAAAAGTGGTTATTTGTTATTAATAATTGTAATGAAAGCATGTTACTGTTCTTAGATATACAATAAAGACTAATGTACATACAGGATGCATCACAATGACTGGGCATTGTTCTGAGCTATGGGTGATTTTCTTTGGGCAATATTTGTTATGTAGTAACTTACAAATTATTGGCTGTTGGTGTACCTTACTAGTATATAGGTAGATCATGGCAGAACAGAAAAATGAAGAGTGTAGAAGTGGATATTATGAACAGGAGGGTTTGGTTTTGGAGCTTGAATCAGGCAATCCTGGTAGTTTGAGCTATGTTCTGAGGTAGGAATGTTATATGGTGTCAGCATTTAATGTGTTCCTTTGCATTCCTCATCCACTATAGCAATTTGAAGTGCTTAATTATTATCCCACATGCTCACTTGCATTATATTTATCTCCACACCTAGTTTTAGGCATTATTTTTTGTTTGGACTTTGGGGTCATTCTGGTATTATTTTTAAGTGAATTAACAATTTTCTCCAAATTTTGATGTAAGGATGGAAAAAATTTAAGATTAAGTCATTTATTATTTATTTTTATTAACTTTTTTTTGCCAAATGAGCTTTTATTTTACATTCATTTAAAAATATTTTCTTTATTTCTGACACTTTGTGTTAGACTAACAATTCAATGTTTCACCAAAAATAAATGAATAAGAAAGAAAAATAGTGAAATGGTCTGGTCAAATAATTTATAGCAGATCATATTTATTTTGACTTCCAAGCTGTTTATCCTAATTGTATTATATTCTAATCATTGTCAAAAGATTTCATGTTTTAATGCATATGGACCCAGGTGTTAGTAGTTACAATGGTTTCATTAGAGCAGTCAGCATTATCCTGCATTACATTTATGCCCAGATGCTACCTTGGGTATTATGGATATTATGCATGGACATGAATATTGTGTCTGCAAACTTTCGTGTAGATATAAACTTCTGTTTTTGCTGTTTATATACAGTTTGAATGCAGCTTTTTGTGTGCAGCATAGCTCTCATGTGTTCTGACCTGTCTTCTAACTTGTCACATCCTCACCCTATATACTCACATGTACCCCTCCACTCACACTAAAACCAAAAACATTTGAGTTTTTCTTTGCCATAGTTTGATTTAAAAAAAACACCATTCTAATCTGTACTAGTACCCTTCCCTCACTGTGTATCCTGCATTTCTGCATTTTTAGTTATTAGATATATTTTTCTAAAAGCTTTCTTTGAAGGGATGCTTTAGATTACCTACCCTATTATTTAAAATGTTATGAAGCAGCTTTGCTTATGAAATGTATTAATTGTATTTATTTTAGCAGTTATTAAAATGTTATCTCTGTTTTCTGATGCTTGTTTTGTGTTGGTTTTTAGAAATTAAAATAATAATTGTGAATTTATATGTTTTTCTTACAATTGTTTTTCTTTTAGTTAAACCAAATAATGTTTATGTGTGATCCATTTTTTATACTGCTTTAAGTATCTAACATTTGTTGCTGTTAAATTATATATTTATAATTTTATCTTTTTAAATATATTTCCTTGAGAGTTTTTTCTGAAGTGTTATGTAAAGAAAACTGAATTTTGACAGACTTGTACAGTAGATAAAAAAGTTTCCAATTTCATAACATTTCATCTTACGTATATATATATATATATATATATATATATATATATATATATATATATATATATATATATATATATATATATATATATGGCTACAGTTTTTCAATAAAAATGAATACAGATATATTTGGAGGATTGTTGTCATACAAATACATAGTGATTACTATTATGTACATGTTACAAAATAATTGTATTGCTCCAGCAGGATCACACTTTAAAGATGTGAAATGCCACTATTCCAGAGCTGTATATGATGGAGAGGAGCATAAGGTGTTCATGGAGCACTTGGATGCTCGCCTCAAGCACCATGACAAGGAGATTGAACGCATGTGTAACTACCACTACCAGGGCTTTATTGATTCCATAAGGGAGCTGCTCCAAGTCAGAAATGAAGCACAGAATCTCAAGGTATGGAAGAGGTGTTAGGGGACATTTTTTGGTATTATTAATTATAAGCATTTTAACAAGTTTGTAATATAATTATAAGGGGATAGATTCATTTTGTAAACACTTGTATTTGAAACTAGAAAAAGCTCTGATTGTACACAAACTAAGGGGCTAGCGACCAGGATGGTCAAACAATTTTGCATACACAGAACTTATAAGTTATGGAGCAATTTCATAAATTCACAAAATGATGTTGTAACACTAACATATTTTTGTTAATGCTGAATTTTGATAACGTTTAGATTTGACAGATTTTTAAAGCATGAGAGACCTGGTCTATTTTTCTTTTTAGAGTGAAATTGAAGCTACAAATGAAGAACTCCAGAAATCCAGTCAGATTCTAATGAAGAAAGGCAGTGAGCTGGTGACCAGTAGAAAAATACAAAGAAATATAATGGCAGCAGTGGAACATTTAGAGCTGTGTTTGCCAGGTATTCTGTTGCTTTTAGGATGAAGTTGTTACAGATGTTAACTTAATTATTAATAAACAATGTTTATGGAACATTTAGAGCTGTGTTTGCCAGGTATTCTGTTGCTTTTAGGATGAAGTTGTTACAGACGTTAACTTAATTATTAATAAACAATGTTACTGATAGGAAACCTGTACTACATATTATATTTTTTTCTGTGAAATGTAGTGAGATTTGTTGTGATCATAATCCTGTTCTTTGTATTTCAGTTCTTGAAAAATTTGGAAAGCTTAGAGAACAAATGAATGATAAGCGGTAAGTTGTTATAAGGTTCTGACATACCTCTGCGCCCAAAATAGTTTGTAGCATAGCTTAAAGACTTAAGCAACCTAAAGCCAATTGTCATCCTCAGATGCATTCATATAACTTTTATATGAACTTTTATATGAATCATTTCTTTTTCAATGTAGCTATGTATTTTTTGGAAGCTTATATTAATTGGAGAGTTTTATGCCATTGTAAAAGCTACGTGAAAATTGGTATATTATGACAACCTCACTGTGTCAATCGTATGCAGGTACTACCCAGCTCTCAAAACACTGGAACAACTGGAGCATGTGTACCTTCCACGTGTTAGTCGATATAGGTTCTCACAGATGATGAGTGAGACCATTCCCAAGCTTCGTGAAGAGATTAAAGAAGCTTCCATGTCTGATCTTAAAGATTTCCTTGAAAACATCAGGAAACATTCACCTAAGATTGGTCAAGTTGCTATGAGACACGTGAGTTACTTGGAAAATGCTTGTATTCTACTAGCAACTTATTTTAGAACAAAACTTTTAAGTAGTGGGATTTTTGTCATGAATGTGGATGAACCTGTTGTGCACTATTTTCTTGCTTAATCATTTTAGATTTGTAGAGCTAGTGGATCTTACAGGATCTATTTATGACACTTTTTTTATCATTTGGATTTTAATTGATTTCTATTTTGAAGTGTGACTGGGCATCTTTACAAGTGTAAAAATTCCAAAGTTTTCTTTAATATAGGCAGCAGAATTGAATAACATTGATTCTGGACCGTCAGCACAACAGCCACCAAAAGTTATCAAAAAGAAAAAGAAAAGACGAGCACCAAAACCTCCTAACCCATTCACGGGAGAAGTTGAAGAGGAAGATGCAGTAGAAGATAATGATGAGGAAGATGATGCAAATCCATTCTTACAGCCAACAGAGTCAGAGGAAGGAGAAGTGAGTAGTCATTCATGTTGAATATTGCTTCATTTATGTTTTTTTATATTGTTCAGCAACTTTTAGCATCCTGATTTGGAATAGATAAATGACTGCATCTTTTTAGAAAACAGGTTGTGGTTGTATTATAAGAGTGTAACATCAGTTATTATCAATTAATATAACATGACCAGTCTAAAAGATTTCTTTTTTTTTTTTCATTTTTGACATTGTAATGCAAATTACTTTCCTCTTATCTTAAAATTTTTTTCTAGACCTCGGAAATTTTATTTATTTTATGCTTTCAGGAACTCAGTGCTCAAGACTTAGTGGACTTTTCTCCAGTTTACAGATGTTTCCATATCTATACTGTTTTGGTATGTAAGAATTAAGGAGACAAGGAAAGAACATAATATTGTGATAGGATCAAAATGTATTTAATTAGACTAAGTAGATTTGTAATAGAATTTCAGAATTTGCTCTCTGCATTTATGTGATGTCAAAGCAATTTATTAGATGATTTATGTACATCTGTATTAAGGTTAGTGAATGCTATTCCACACTTATCTTTATCTTGTAATTGTAGGGTGCCAGAGAAACATTTGTAGATTACTACCGCAGACAGCGAAGAAAGCAAGCAAGATTGGCTTTGCAGCCTCCTACCAACATGGTTAGTGATAAGTATCTTCTGCATGCAAATTGTATTATTTTTTGTTTGTTTTTGCATATTAAACAGTTATGCCTCATGTATTATCAAGGAATGTTTTACTTAATCAATCTTTCTTGATAAGTTCCATCCAACTTAACAGTAGTTTATGTCTAAAAGAATGTATGGTCTTTTTATATTTTTAGCATGCCTCTGTAGAACATTATAGGGTTTACTTCCAAGAAGTAGTAGGGTGAGTATGTTATGTTTTGGATAGTTACAGGGAGATTGTAACGTTTTAGAAAAACAACTACCTGTGTATTCACATATCCATGCACACTTAAATTGTATAAATGATATAGTTTATTTTTTAAGATTTCAACTTTTAAATGTGGTCCTTTACATACATATGACTTCTGTATGAAGTATTGTTTTTCTGCTTCAGGTTTTTAGTTGTTGAGGACCACATTTTAAATACTACATCTGGCCTTGTGGACAGAGGCTACATGGACGAGCTGTGGGACATGTGTATTTCAAAGATTGTTGCTGTGTTAAGGACTCACACAGTAAGTAATATCAGTAACTGTGACTTCAATTTAATAGAAAAATAAATGTTATGTGGAAAAATAGACTTATAAACAAAGATTACCAGTCTCCCTAAAGGGGCAAAATTTCTGTGTAGGGCACGGCCAGCTTCACATATTTTGATGATAGAACAAAAATTAACAGACTTGTTTGATGCAGATTTTAGATACATTTGCTCATTATACTATTTAATGTATTTCTATTTGTTTTAGGCCTATTGCACAGATGCCACACTTCTTTTACAAATAAAAAATGTGATCATTTTATTTAGTCATACATTGAAGGTAAGAGGTTGCCAAACAGTTTTAAAGATATCTAGAAATTTTTATTGAGGAAAGTCTAAATAAATTTATAGATATCCATGCCTTTGTTGAATTTATAAAAATATAGAAGATAAGACAATGTAAGTGAGAAACATATACATTTGAACTTGCACGTTAATGCAGTTGTGTGTATGTGCGGATAATATGTACAACCTATTATATTTAAGTCAAAACAGTAATGACTTTTTATTCAAAATTTAAATGATTATGTTTCAGAGTTATGGTTTTACAGCAGGAAAACTTTATGATTTATTGGTAGAAGTCAGGTATGTTAATTTTTGAATGAAGTGTTCATTCCTCCATTCATTCAGCTGAGATTTTTTTATATATTAGCTAAGTAATAGCTTACAAGCAGTTTTTGTTTATTTATAGAATTGTATGTTATAAACAGTGGTAGCAAAAAAGAAATATTAATTGTTCCATATTATTTTGAATGATTTTGAATGATAGAATATTAGGTTTATTTGTAGACTTAGAAATGGCTGGATTCCATTTATAATGTGAAGATTTGATCATTAACATTTCAAGATAATGATCAAAGTTTACAGTAGTATCAATAGATCTTTAAAGGAACTCTTCGTTTTGGCCAAAAAATGAATTTTCCTGGGGTCAACAATTTTCCCGTACTTACCAATGGTTAATGAATCCATTTTTACATTCAAAGTTAGTCCCTGTTTTTTTTCCAAAAAGTTTGGTTTTTTGTTAAAATCTCTTAAGAGATTATAACAGAGTTTAGCCATCAATGGAGGTCACGTGGTCTGAAGACAAGCTCAGATATCAGAATAATAGCTTTAACTGCTGTCTTTGTCGTAAAACAGAATATATTATATTTCTTTGAGTTATTCACAATGTTTTTATTGTGAAATATAGACCTCATACGAAGAGTTATTATCCCTTTAATATCTTTATTTTTAATTATATGTTTTATTATTTTTCCATCCAAACAGGGATCAGTACAATGAGATTATCATGCAGAAATGGATCCAAGTGTTCCAGGAGATTTTTGCCCAGGATAACTATACCGCTATTTCTGTGCAGACACAGGAAGAGTACCTGGATGTCACCTCTAAGTACCCATACAAAGATGAGGAGTTTGAGAAGGTATTGGAATGATAGAATTTTTACCTGGGCATACATTTATAGAGTGAAACAGCAGGCTTTGGTGTGATAAAAAGCATGGAAGATTGGGTGGGGTTGGAGGCTATTTGGAAAAATATCACAAATAAAAGTGTAACAATCATTGGTAGCTAAGTAATTTTGTTGGAACTATTTATGATGTGAAGATCTGATTTTGTCAATTGTTTATAAAATGACAATAGAGAAAGAAAATGGATTTGGTAACATCAGGAATAATGATTGATAGAGATTTTGATGTTTTCTTTTCAGAGCCCCTTTCCAAAAACATTTCCTTTCTCTCAGTTTGTGCCAAAGATTTACATTCAAGTGAAAGAGTACATCTATGCTTGTCTGAAATTCTCAGAAGATCTGCATCTCAGGTGACACTGTTAGAATTGATATTCAAAGGACCTATGTTATTTTTTGCCTTATGAAAACTGACATAATATGTGATGATTGAAATGTTCACCATAAAATATTGTATTTTTTCATACTCTAAACCTTCATTAATATCAGTTAACAAAAATATTTGGTATTTTAACGTATCACTTTTTTTGAAAATCATTGGGTTATCTTTAAATTAGAAAAAATAACAATTATTAAGACTGATTATGAAATATTTATTTTCTTTTTTTATTTTAGTCATTCTGAGGTGAATGACATGATCAGGAAGTCTGCCAATATTCTCCTGACTAGAACACTAGGGGGATGCTTGTCAGAACTGATACGAAGACCAGAGCTAACACTGCTCCAGGTACATATTGGCAGTTGATGTATTGTAATTCAGTGTTGATATTAATGTGAGAAATGTTTGGTTGTAAAGAACTGAGTTGTTTTCATGTTGCTCTGTATTTGTGAAACTATTTTTTTTTCTTTTGTTGAGAGGCCATTTTGGCAATTGGTGTCGTAACTTACAAAGATTATTTTAAAGAGTTGGTAGTTACTGTACATTTGCTGCTATTGGACCTTACATATGTTAACAGATGCAATCTTTCCTAGTTGATCCAAATCTCCATCAACATGAATTACTTAGAACAGTCCTGCGAGTATCTAGAACAATTCATCTCCAACATCACTGGGTAAGTCTACAGAAATAGGTGGTAAAACCAGTACGATTGTCTTCATGTCCTGTTCTTATAAGACGTACATGTTTCACATATCATCCTGTCAGGAGTTTCATATTGTGTTATTAACTGACAAAAATCAAGCTTGATTGTTCAAGAAATATATTATTTCTTAAACTTTATTAATTATATTCTATTTGATATAGTTGTGATTCCCTGTTGGCAACCCTTGTACCACTGAATATTTATTTAAATTCTTAAACATGATGTATGATAATGAATTATGTATCAAAAATGTTTTTGTCTTCAGTTACAGGAAATGTTATGCTTTCTTAGAATTCAGAAATAGAATAAAATTCTTGGCCTAGTTTTAAAATCACTGTCAATTCCTACGAAGTACTTCCTTTTGAGGAAAAGATATTGGAGGCATCCCGTAGAGTAAACTATTTATTGTAATTTTGTGATTAAAAAAATACTGTTTATGTTTTTGTTAGTGCTGATAGGGAAAGTGTGCATGTGACCAAACTCCATGGAACAGCCATGTTTAAGGTATGATACATTTTTCTCCACTGTTGACATAAAAAATTATCATGTGAAAGACTGAAATATATGTAAAATATTACTCAGGAGCAAGACATTTTTAGATGTGCTTCTTGGAAGGAATATTTGGACAGCAACAGTTGTTCCATTCTCACTTGTGTTGTTGTAATTATATAAACAGTGACTACTAGTAGTTTTATTCTTCCTATATCATAAAATTGGATAAAACCATGAACTAAGATTTTTTTCAATTGGATTAATTATTAAAGAACTCAAAGTTTTGTTTTTATTCGATATTAGGATGCACGGAGTGAAGCTGAAGATCAAATCTATTATAAACTGAATAAGAAAATAGATGACATATTGGAGTTAGGTAAGTAAAATCTCTAAATAATCTAGGTTTTGAGATAGATGCAGTTAAAAGTTGTCATTTCATTGTAATAAAATTCAGTTTTAATTACTTAGTTTGAATTGGCATAAAGTCATCATTTTTCTTTAAATTGTTTGTAGCTGTGCATTTGAGAGTGTGATATCATATGCAAAGGACCTATTTAAATTGAATACATTCACATCATTATTTACTTTGATAAATTGCACTTTCTTCACAGCTTCATATGAGTGGACCCTTCCAGAGCCTAAGGGACATGCCAGTGGATATCTAGTGGATCTCATTGCCTTCTTGCAGAGCACATTTATGTCCTTTACTAACTTGCCAGTAAGTCTAAGTTCAACTGTTGAATAGCCAAACTGACAAAGAATTCTTTTGTCAGTTAGGGATTCTGTTAAAAAAAACTTTTTAATTATATTGGCTATAGTTGTAATAACTGTTTGACATATATGTTTCTGTGTTTGTTCATATGTGTGTGCATGAGAGAGAGAGAGAGTAACAGGCATATGGTCAAAGCTCACCTAATGAAATTTATCTTATATAATGTATAATACTATATATACACTCAGACTAAAAATTTCATTTTCACAAATCATGTAAATGGAGTGACGAAAATTGAAGTTTGCAGTTTTAGCAAGTCTTGACAATAAACATTAAGAATCTTTATTTTAGACATACAGAATGTAGGATACAGTTAAAAATAAAGTCTTGAGGCCGCTTTTTGTCAGTATCATGTGAAGCATCCACTGTTTATTGTCAAGATTTGCTCAAACTTTGTCATGGAAATGACACTAAAAATCATTATTGACTTTGCTCATATGGTTATTTTATAATTATTCAAAATAATGATCTTTTCAAGAGCTGAGTGTACATATACATTATGCTTTCCCTGGAGAGATGATTATATTCCAAATAGTTAATTTTGTCTTTTATACATAAGTAAAATACTTAAATGCCCCTGTATCATGCATTGTCTGCTTCACTTTTTAAAAACCATTTTTGTACAAAGTGTTTCATTTTATTTTGCTGCATTTTTCCCTTTGAATGGAATTCCATTTCATTGTCTTAGGCACTTGGTTTTTGGCTTTCAGGATATGGTTACCAAGACAAAGTCCACATTTATCAATGTTAGACATATGGTATTGTAGCTACAATGCTATGCATCAAACTTTCCTTGTATTTTCCTTTCTTTGCTAATCCATGTAGGCATGCCTCACATGCTTATTATTGGGCAAGCATATGTTTTTATACCTTTTTGACATTTTTACCAGGCTGACTGTTTTGTTCTTTGCATTTTTGAAAACCTTGTCCATAAATAAAAGAGAAATCTAATTCTGCAAAATATTAAATAGATGACTTTGTTAGTATGATAGTACTGACTACAGACACCCGAAAGTAGGAATTATACAGGGAAAAAAAGAAAATCAGAATTTTATCATTACTTACCATGCAGTTTTTCTTCCTGCTTAATTATAGTCCATCCCTCAAACCTTGCTTTTTATAGCAGACATTTGTTCCTTTGGGAGTCTCATTTTTTAAACTTTGTTTAGATGTGAGTTTGAATCAACTGAAATATTGCTACAATAACCACAAGTATACTATTAAAAAACAAGATGCTTTAAAATCCACATAAAAATGCAAATCATCCATTCCTGTTTATATTTATTGAACTGTTTTCAATGTAATTTTTATGTTTTGGGAACATCAGTCAATGAAAAAGAGCAGTGTGGCAAGGAAAGATGCATAATAATAGTAAGAAGTAAGCAAACATGAAAATTTCAAAAAATTTGTTTCATATTTTCAACCATTCTTATTTATCCATCTCTAAGATCACTAATATTTTAAGACTATATCATTGATCTGTAGGATAAGGTTGCCAGAACGGCCCTGATGTCGGCATGCAAGCACCTAGCTCAGAGGATGATGGACTTCTTGCTGGATAATGAGGTCAAGGCCATCTCACTAGGAGCTCTCCACCAGCTTAACCTGGATCTTATGCAGTGTGAACGTATGTAGATTAAAAGAAGCCTAAATAAAGAACTCATTTAGGTGTAAATACTGAAGTTTTTAATTCATATTTGTGGAAAAATCCTACACTTATATATTTGAATGGTAGTTAAGATATTACATGAAGAGATACTAATATGTATGGGTGTTCTCCATGTTTTGTGAGCTTTCCAATAATTATCTGTTTTGTTTTCAGGTGTTTCTCATTGCATTTATTTTTATTTTATGACAAAAAATTTGGTACCTCCTAATAATACATCTTTGTGACTGTTTTAGTTAATGCAAATGTTTTGTTTCGAATAAAGTGTATGTTTAGTTATTAACATACATTGAAAGAGTATACTTGCTGGTTTTAGTCTTCCTATTATGTTACTTCTTGGTTTGAAAACTATATTCTCTCTGATATTGATTTTGTGTGGCATCTTTCACACTATGATTTTTTTTTCAGAATTTGCCAACTCGGAGCCAGTTCCAGGCTGCAATGATGGAACATTACAACTTGCTTTTATTGATTTGAGACAAGTTAGTAATTATAATTTCACTATTATTATACTAATAACAAGTTGTGATTTTGAACTTGAATCCATACTTATGGCTTTTTTGTAAAGAAATGAAATTTCAGGTAGTGGAAGAAATAAGCAAAGTGCCTTTGAAGGGCTTGTCAGCATTCTACTTTGTAAATTAATTTATGTTATTTGAATGTTGTCTCAAATTCATTTTTAACAGGGTTGTAATTAAAAAAAATGTTTTTCCCCTTTCCCCTCAGCTCTTGGACCTGTTTACTACAGAGGACTGGTCAGCTTATCTTGCTGACTTTGGTAAACTTGACTGTAAATATCTGAGGGTTCCTGGTCAGAGGGCAATAACACTGCTGGAAAAGTAAGTTAAAGTGCCATTGAAATAGCCATACATCAGTTTTTTTTTCAAACTGATAATGGTGGCAAATCTACCAAATGAGTTTAATATAAATTGAGTAAGATTTTGCCATCTACCAGTACTTTTAGGTTGAATGTTGAGGGTTCATTACATAGCATTTTGGTTTTTTAACAGTTTCTTCAGGTTGAATTTTCTCTTAACTGATTTGTCAGTATGACACCCCTTTGTTATTTTTTGTTAAATTATTTGACCAATGAATTGTTTTTACAGGGTCAATACTGCAGACAGAAAAAAGATATTTACTTTTAAGAAGAACGAGAGAGACAAGAAGAAACTCATTGAAACTGTTCTAAGGCAGTTAAGGCAACTTGTGAATGAATCACAGCATCAGAATTGACATCAAGAAAAATATGACTTATTTGTATGTAGCAGTGTAAGGATGAAGTCAGTTAACTGACAGTGTCTGCCAAACTAAGGTTGTTGGTTTAGATAAAGGCTGCAGGTAGTAGCTGACATAATTGAGATTCTTGAGTATCATGTATTTGGCATTATTTTGGTTGTTACGACGCTTCACTGTTGTCATACTGCAACACTGTGGTTACCTGTCACGGCAGCAAGAAGGACTTATATCTAAGAAAATAACGTCTTGCCTACATGATAATTTCATTGGCATAGTTTTCAAGAATGTCCAAATGCTGAGATAACACAGTTATTTATAGTGTGTCTGGGGTTCAATTTTTATTCTCCCTGAATAGCTAAGCAAGATTTGCTGATGTAATTGTCAAAGCTGCTTTGTTATTTTCAGGTATGTACTGTCAAGTGTGAAAGAGCCATGCCATCAACTTTATGTGCTATACATTTTATCAGAAATTTTATACATAACACAGCATAATGTGTGAATATCGTCTTCATATACATGATTATGAAGAAATTGAAATTATTTAAAGTTACTGCTAATCATTAGCATTGGTATGTCCGGTTGCACCTACATTAAAGTGGAAAAATTGCCTATGTTAAAGTGGTAAATTTTGAATTCTAAGTACAGGTAAATAGGCTGCACTCCATTTGCTTTGTCTGAATGCTATTCTGTGTACTGTCTTCACCAGTTAACATAATTGTGGTGCTATACTCGGGTGAAAATGGGCTTGAAATTATAATTTTGTGCAATAGATATACAGGTTCTGGTTCTAAAGAAAGCTAAAGGAAATAAGATCATTGCTTTTTGCCATTCAGTCGGAAATTATAGTAATGTATAAATAGAGCATGTCATATCACCAATTGCTCAATTATTTAACTAATTACATTTACTTTAGTTTGACAATTCATTTTGTACATAAAAACGATATACAGGTTCTCGTTCTAAAGAAAGCTAAAAGAGGTAAAATATTTGCTTTTATACCATTCAGTCAGCAGGTATAGTAGATCTATGTAAAAATAGAGCATGTCATATCACTAATTGCTCAATTATTTAACCAGCTACATTTACTTTAGCATAACAATTTATTTTGTACATAATAAACAAAACAGCATGATTAAAATTAATTTTACTTTATTTTCATTTGCCTCGTGATGGTGGATTCCAAAAATTTATGACGGGACTTGTAACATGTTAATATGCATCTCAGTAAAAACTAGAAAAGTACAAAATGCACAAACCTCCATCAAGGGGCCTCAATTCTCATTGTTATTAATTTCATAATGAATCACCACTGAAATTTGATAACTTTCTAGTGAGCCCATTTCTGACCTTTCTGGAAATTCTTTATCAAAATTAGTTCATGAACTCGAGTTTGGCTGTTAACTAACAAATCAACAAAGGCAAAAATGTAACCTCCATGACAGATGATATAAATTCCTTGAATAAGGTAGCTTACAGTGTGTCAACCTGTTGGCTTGTTAAATAACACTGACACTTTTTGATAAAAACATTTGTGGATGACACTGCAAAGATGGCATTTGAGTGGATAAAGGTGTTCAAGACACTGAGCTGGCATTGTGTTGTCACTTGGCACAGATTATTGCCTTGACATTTGACTTACGTAGCTAATGACATTTCTACAGTAAAATTACCATTGTATTGAAGACAGTACAAAGAATCTGCTGAACATAGCTGAGTAAGGAGCAAAGTAGATATTTGAAGTATGAGACCGAACCTAAGAAAATATCAAGATGCACAAGTTATTTTTAAAGTACTTAAAGCACCATTAAACATCAAATAAACTGAAAACTTTCAAGCTAAAAGTATTAGAGTGATACAAAACCACTATCCCCAGTATCAATTGTTTTTATGTTTAGCATAACTTTAAGAAAACCAAGCAACCCCTGTATGCTGTTTGCTACCTTCATTTATGTTAATGTAATGATTTTGATATGTGCAGTGAATTAAAAGACCTTACAATACAGTGCAATTTTGCTCCCAAAAATGTGGATTATAGGCTCTTCATATTTTACAGAAAAAATTAATTACACATTATAAGTTTTAAGTTATTTGAATTCTATTACAGAAAGAATGATGAAAAAAGTGGTTCTTGATTTTAAAATCTGTACCTGTTAATTTAAATTACAGGTAGGTTTAAGAAGATATTATTACAGCAGTCCCTTCACTCTTTGTCTTAATTATCATTGACATTCCTATAGTAATCGTCTTATGAGCAAGACCAGAAAAAGTGTCATTTCTTGTCCAAAATGGGTCCTTGTCTAATTATTATCACTTTAATTTATATTATAATTTTCATTTTAGTATTATCTATAAATTTGCAGTAGTTTTGAATGAAGCTTCCCTACTTTACCCACTTTCATACACAAATAAAATATGGAGAGAGTCAACATTTTTAAAGATTCTTCCTACAGTTCAAATTCCTCTTGACTATACTTTTAGACTAAAGGCCCTTCTGTCATATCACTAGACTTTCACTTAGTGCCAGTACTGGTACTGGGGCACAGCATAGGTAGTGTCTTTTCTTGCTTCACTTTATACGGCTTTCGTATCGATGACTCCTTTTATACTTTTCAAAATGGAAATACCTGACTGAATTTAAGCAAAACTTAAAGTGAAAACAGAAGGCTTATCAAACATGTCGAAGGGGTTTAAGATACACGTTGACATATTTGGACAGGAGGAACAGACACAGGTTTGTAAATTCATCATAATTGGTATAAAACCGCTTCTTGCACTCTGGCAGACTATGACCCAGTTGCAGAGGGCAGGTGGTTTCCGCCCCGTTTCAACAGTTTTGTCACCATCTCCAGTCAGCCAGTCAGTTGGTCCAGGTTACAAATAAAAGTTCTAAGTCCAAAATATAATATAAATCAAGTATCGTTGCTTCAACAGTTCCTTTAGTCAGAAGTTGAAACTAGAATTAGCGTTCATCCATATAAAGGGTTATCTCTCTAGACTCTCAAGTTACCTTATTTAGGGAAGGAGGTTACTAGTGTTAAAATAGTGTATACCTTGTAGGTTCAGTCAGCTCCTTTCTCTCTATCCTGCATTTGCAGGAAGGCTTCGAGAGGTGATTGCTCTATCCTAGAATGAATGGCCTCAAAGACCTTGCTACACTGTACTGTACATACTCAGTAACTTCCTTAATTTGGTTCAATACCAATGGGTGTAACGTACTTCATTCATGATTTGTTAATTTCACATTTTGTGTCCCATTTATAATTTTCTCTTGTTGGTTCAATATTTAATTGTTGTCTCTATGAGTATCATCCAATATTGCTAAAAATGAGGGTGTCGGCACTGCCTGGTGTCAAAAGAGACTTGGAATTGTGTAAGAATCTTTGAGGTAGTATTAACTTTGCAGCAGTGAATGTAAAATGCTGTTTGCTGGGGGTGTCGACTTAGAAAACAATTAATACTATAGTGACACTCATTTCTGAGTCAGAACATGATAAATTCAGACTGTTGTGCAATTGATTAATTCTTCAGAACTTAAGAGAAAATAACCAGAAAAATATCACTGGATAAATTCTTTCTGCTTTTTAGTGCTGTACCACACTTGTTAGTCTGCCATTATATCTAACTATTCTCCAAATCCTGTAAAACCTTGCATATTTACAAGTTCTCAGACCTTTGTGTTATGTTGGATTATCCCCATTGTTTACTGACTTTTGGTCTGCTGCCCTTTCAACTGTTGCCCTTTCATTGTATACCTTACCACAGGCTTTTCATTCCCCATCTGATACAAGTATCTTTAGGATTCATGAGGTTATGTTCATTTTGAACTGTGTATCCTGCTGTATTATTCATTATGTTGTGCATTATTTTCATTCAGAGGCGTTTCTTTTGTATTGAAGCACAATAGAGGTTTTTCTTGGTGATCTTGTTAAGACAGATTAGTACTAGTATGTTTATGTATAAATGCCTCAAAATAAAGTGGGTTAATTTGCATTAAATAAAAGGTAAGTGCAATATCACAGGGAACCACCAGTCTAGAGTCTACTAGTAAGTATCAGTGTAATGTTAGGTTCTAATCATCACAACCTGATGTTATAATGCCATTTAACTCCAACAGTGTAGATGAAGATATGCCTGAGATCACTTATTAATATTAAATAACAACAACAACAACAATAATAATAATAATAAAAATAATAAATAACATTTAGAAATTTAGAAGATAATAATAATTTAGGGGGTCTAAGGGAATAGTTGGAAGTTTTTAGTTATAAGTAATTAGTTATTGAATTACTAGAGTTCTTGTAATTTCCCAATATTTTTTGCAGAGTGAAATTGACAAAAATGCTGTGGCTGTATTTCAAGCAACATTAGAACCCCAGCTGTTACCAGGTAATTATGTTTTAATCATTGTGGCAAGAGTGCTTAACATTATTGCCAAATGTAAAAGTTAAAACAGTTAAGAAAAGTCAGCAGCACAGGATTGCTATAAAAGCATAAATGATAAACAATGTTTCATCTCAGATTAACAGACTATCCTTTCTCCTCCTGGCATTGAGTAGAATACAGAAAGCTGGTGATTATATGACTATGTTAGAAACAAGAAGAGGTGTGTTAATCTAATTGCATTCAGCGAGTGACCCTGCAGGGTTGGATTGATCTATGTAGAATGAGTTTCATTGGGCCTTAGGTGTGAACAAGCTATGATGTAAATCTTTTTGTTGCTTCTCTTTCTTCAATTTAAGTAAGAGAGGTAAGATAAGATACAGTTGTTTCAAATTTTTCATCTTGACGCATGAAAAATTTTAATAGAATTTAAGAGAGAAAAGCAAAATGACAAAAAGTACAAAAAGACTAGATTATTAAATGTTACTCAGTATATGTTTATGTCATGAGTTTTGTGTTTAGCAAAAAGATCATATACGTTTTAGGAGAATTGATTGTTGGCCATGCTCAGAATGTGTTAAAGTTTAGTGCCTACAGCGAGCAGAAGCAAGGCATCTCAGGGTCATTGTTTTGCACCAACTTCAAAGTGAGCTTTGTGACAGCAGACAGATCATCATATGATGGGGTAATGAACCATTTAAATGTGAACTAGCTTAAAGCCTTGTCAAACACATGTACAGTAACTGTAGTAACCATCATATATCTGATGGAACCCTATGATTTCAGTCAAGATTGTAAAAAGGACTTTTATTTTGTGACATATATTAAGATCAGGCTTTTTTTGGGGGGGGCATTTTCACTTTTAAATGAACATCAGACATCTTGTTTTCTTAAAATTATTATTTAAAAAGTTAATAAAAGGTCATCTTTGTATGCTTCAGTGTAAGATGAGCTGTTGTGTCAAACATTAATTTACATAAAAAACACAAAACTTACCTTCTAAGCATTGTTTATAACCTTTTTGTTTTTAGGAACACAACAATCAGAGGAACTTGTTACTAGGAGAAAATGATATTGCCCTATGTAATATAGATGACATCTACCAAGGTAAGTACTAAGTACAAATATTAAAGAGTCATAAAGTGACACACAAAGATAAAAATTAAGGATAAAGTTACAATGACAGGTGACATTCTTTTTATTGTAAAGATATTGTCTTTGCCTTTTGTTCTGAGTATAAAGAAAGAAAAACACTATGCCTTGTTCTGCAAAATGAAAAAAAAAATGATAATAACAAAAAATTCAAACTAAATTTGACTCAAGTTATGGTGGCCTTCAGTTGCTGACAGTTGTCACACTTAGGCTAAATGTTACTTACCTAAAGGGCATAAGGCTTTGGGTATGACTTATCTAGCAAATAAATTAATGGCCTGGGGCCAGTGCCTATTTCAAGTATATACCATAGCCTGTGTATTAAGTAACTGTGTTTTGCAAACATAGTAAACCATAGTTTCTGTTGCTCATATGCATGTGGTTTTTGTTACAACACTGGATTGTCAAATATTTTTGCAGTAAATGTTAGAATTTAGTATTTCGCTTTTTAGTACTAAAATAAAATTTTAACTCACTTTTTTAGAAGCTAATATAGTTATCTTTTGTATCTTATGAAATAATGTAGGTAATTCTTTAATGGTATTTAAGTCCATTGAAATGTTGCTTTCATTTGCTTCATTAAAACCCACATAAAATGTTTATCTGAAGTGCTACATATTTTCATCCGTCCATTCCTCTTTTATGAAATCTGTGAATCAAATTGATTTTGCAATGTGAAAGTTTGATAAATAAACCAATATTTCCCTGTTATGAGTAAATGTTCCCTGTCATCTCAGTCCTTCATTCCTTTCATTATATATGCAGCCTCATATCCAAAGCTGCCTACAGAAACATTTGTTCCAAAGATAGGTAGGTTGCTGCTTGGTATGGTACAAGAACATGCATCTCTCACTGCTAAACCTGCAAGTTTATATTAGCCATATTTCAAGGCATGTTATATTATTATTATTATCATTTTGTTTTTAGCTTCCTATTCCCTCACCCATCACTCCTCAATCCTCAAACCCATGATAATGAAATTATTAATTGCATTGAGTTCTTCATGAAATATTTATTATTTGTATTTTCAAATTCAACTAACCTTTGTATTGGTAATGCATAACATCTATTCAGTACTTTTGTATGTTTTATGGACATCTTTGCATGTGGTGCAACATGTATGTCAAGCTCTTTCTGTTTCAGAGTTGAATCTGCCATTCATGAAATTTTAGTATCAGTTTTATTATTGGAATGAGATTAAAAGACAGCAGTGCCATCTAGTTTTAATATAGGGCTCAATATTTTGAGTCATAGTTTTATTAGTGGTAACAATGTGATGAATATTGCACTTGTTTCTATTTTTTTTTACTTATGGGGCAGTGCACTATGAACTGCTGTGTAATCTACTGCTAAGTTAATGCAGATTCTGTATATTTCCATGATTTATCTATGTTGGCCACTTTATGGTTTTTGTACCGCTTTGATAGTTTCCCCTTTTTATTTACATGGTTGGAAAAACATTTTTGGTATGCAATAGTAATAATAATGATGATGATGATGATGACGATGATGATGATGATGATGATAATGCACCCACAGCTGAATCTTTTAATTCATATTATAGTGTAAAGACAGATGTATTAGAAACCAATCAGTGTGTTAAAACAGAAACCTGAACAATGCCTTGCTAAATAATGAATCTTGTCCAGTGAATAAGCTTGTCAATTTGTCAATTTTGAAAGCTCCTTTTTTTTCCTTGGGGGGAGGGGGGGGGGGCACTCAGATTTCAACCACAGAAAATCAAAAGTGTATGTACATAATAGGTATAAAACAACTTTTATAACCCACGAATCCCAGTTTACCTCCACTTTATTCCAAGTCCCTTGCTTAGCGACCTTTGCATGCTGTTAAGTTGTCAATTGCACTGAAATGTTTTTTCTGTGGTAAAGTTGGTCTAGATCCTGGCAATGCCTCTCAGTGGCATGTTGACTGTAGCAGACCCAATACTCCTAATGAGAAATTTCGACCTTTCAAAGCTAAAAAACGGAGCAGGAAGGCTAACTTTAAACATCTAGGTAGGATCTTGTGGAGGGAATTATTCGTAGAATTGTTTTAAGTTATTGCCTATCGAAGTTTACAGTTCTTTTAGTTTCAACTTTGTGCTTATTTAAGAGCAATTTTATGACTTCAGTTTTGATGTCTTTGATATGTAGCTTTATGTCTGAATGAGAAATTACATTAACACAAATATCTGTTTTACCCTCTTGTAACTATTTATTTATATAAAAATTTGTTACAGTTCAGGATAATATGTAGACCTACAGTGAACCTATGTTTCAAAAATAATGTTATTTTATTGTCTACTTAATGTTGAATGCAAGATGCTTTAAAAAGGCTATGTGGCAGTGTTTGAATGTCCAGTGATACTCTTACTAGTACTCATGACTGCTACAATTTAGATTACTTGAAAAGGATTGTTCACAATATCATTACTGAAAATATTTTTAAAATATAAAGTACATATGTGATCACTATTAATTTTAATTTTGTCACAAAGACATACTGACATATATGTACTAGTACTCCAAATATGCATGCATACACCTCCATCCACACCATAATAAAACCATTTGTTGCACTCATTTGTTACTATTCTTCAAAAATTCCATTTTAGTGTCAACTGGAAAGCGGAAGAAGTTTACTCCTGGAGGCAACCTGACTGGGAAGGTGAAGACACTGGAGATCAGGTGCAAGGTAAGATAGACAGGAAGGTAAAGGGTTGTAATCAGATAAGACCTAGTATTTGAAATAGCTATCAACTTGGTAGTGTGAGAACTATCAATAATTCCACCATGATACTAAATTCTAGTTGTCTCACCATGCATCTTTGAAGAAGTTTTGTTTTGCTTTTGTAAGATTTCAGCCAAATTTATTTGGGACTTCAGAACATGATGTCCTTAATGCAGTCTGCAACATTAGACACTCAAGCTTACCCAACTCCAAGACACAGTACAGAAGGATCCAGAATTCACTGTAGGTCGGATCACACTTCTGGTTTTCAAAGTGTTTATCAGTATGCACTTCGAAGTATCAGATGCGGCACGCATACCAGGCAAGAGGGTGTTGCGTCTGATACTTAAAAGCGCGTACTGATACACACCTTGAAAACCAGTAGCGTGATCCAATCTACGTACAGTGAATTCAGGATCCTTTCATGCTGCATCTGGTAGTTGGGTAGGCCTGACACTGGTACTATGGTAAAATTTTGTTTGGACCAGTAGATTTTCAGAATGTGTAAATTTGGTGGTCCGACATGGCCATTAGATTTTTTTCTATAAGTTTCTAAAAGAGCATTTGTTTTGATTAATTTTTTTGGGAATGTAACTGATTCTAAAAAAAAAAAAAGTTTGAGAAAATCAGTGTTGCTATTACTAATATTATTGCATTAGGGTAAAATGTAAAGTCCTATTGAAATTTTTAGTCATACCAGTGAATCCTTAGTGGGACAAGTAAAATTTAGGAAACTTCATTTCCTCAGAGTTTTATTGTCTTTTACAATGGCCCTTTTAGGCACTGAAATGAATCAGATGAGACATTCATATAACAAGCTCTGATAACATTTTGTTTGTATTTTTATTAAGTTTTATTTTTATCAAAGATTATCTAAGATAACTGAGATAATTGTTTCACAAAGTTATCAAGCTATGTATTTGCATTTTTAAGTACACACCCTTCTACACATGTGTGACTTCGAAACTTTGGATAGTTTTGTAGATAAAGCTAGGGCAATTTGTGTTTATTTCATTGATTACCTTTTCCTTTTCAGGACTTGAGTATCCACACCTTCAGTTTCAAATTTTCACCCAAAGATGAAGCCAAATCGGTTAGTAAACTAACCACATGTAACTCTCTCTCTCTCTCTCTCTCTCTCAACAGTGTTGACTATCATTGTTTTTGTGAAAGTTTCAACATATCAGACACAATGCAAGGCTTATGCACAACTAACGCATTTTAGTGTTACCTTTTGAGTAAATGGTGAAAAATGTCTGGCAGCAGTATTAATTATTTATAACACTATGAAATGTTTAAAATGTAAAGAATATTAAATCTCATACTAGACACTAGAATCCAAATAGCATTAAGTCCCATATTTTATTTGGCTCTGTCTTATTTGGCCACTCCTTTGACATGAAGGGTCAACAAAAATGTCTTAATTTAAAAGGATGGACAAGCTCAAACCAGTCCCTGGACAGACGTGGTAGACTGCCCTTCCAATTACGCAGGATATGTTAACATTTTTTGTGGTTCTTTATATGACAGCAGTGGCAATTAGTTCATTTTCCTGAGGAAGTCTGTGGGATAGAAAACACAATACCTGTATCTTTATTTTATTGTCCAGTATGTGGTTTAATTTCCATTCTTTAAATAGTTTAAAAATACAATTGAATGAATCAAATCATACACTTTGGTTGCTGCATTTAATTATAACACTCAGACACACACGCATGCACTCACGCACATACAACAACTGCTGACAGATTTGTTATTTGCAAGAAGGGGGGTCATTAACTTAAAACTGAAAATTGAAATGAAACTGATTTGTTTTAAACACTTTTTGTGGCTGTTTACTTATAGCAAGTTGAAGATAAGTTTTTTTTCTATATTGTTTAGAATGCATGTTTACATGCATTACATGTCTATCAGTTTGACTGATGTGGCAGAGTAAGTTTTTATGGACAGACAAAATGTGTCTGGTTTTTCCTGCAGGTCTTATTTGATATTCTGTTGTAATTTCCTTTGTTCTTCTTTCTAATCACCAATTAAAGCATCTGAAAATAAGATAAGGGGGGCATTCCACAGGTGAAATTGCTATAAGTGTTATTAACTTGAAAAGACAGACAATCTCCTTTATTTCACTTTGCTGAAGCTGAGTCATATTGTCTTGATGCTTCTGTCATGAATTCTTTGTGAAAATGACCAGTCTAAAGAAAGGTTCTGAATGGTGTCAAGTTTCAGCCAGCCAGATTCTTCTCTCAAATGAAATGGTCATGTTGGCATTTTGTACAGGAAATTACTTGTGATCAATTTGCGTTTTTTTTTTTTTTTCCCTGCCTATATGAAATTCTGTGAAGACAAGAAGTCTCCACACTACCCAGGCACAGGTGCTTGGTTATATAACTACATTTTACAAATAAAAATTCACAGAGCTGCAGTTGTATATTTGTGGTAGTTTAAAAGGTATTCTATTTTAATATTCATTCCTGTGAATTTATCATCACAGAATGTCACTTTTCAGTCATGTTATTATGAGATTTATGTCCCATTTGTCATTACTAATGGGAAATGCTATTGTAACCGTAGCAACAGGATTAACACATTTTTTTATGAAGCACATTGACAGTAACATGAAAAAACATTATCTTAGTACTCTGATAGTTCTATTCATCATGTGCACTGAATTTGACAGATATAGTTCCTAGCATTGCAGAAATAATGATATCCTTCTACATGGATCTATATCTACTCAGAATAGTTATTCACTGTCATTCAGCATAAAGGACACATCAATTTCTTGAAAACATTGTTATAATTAGAAAGATGAACATCATATTTCATCGAGGCAACTTGCATATAAACGAGATTTGTTGATCTTGTGACCTAATATCATTTCAGTTCACTGCACAGTATGAATAATACCATTTTTCTGCATCACCTGTATGGAGATTGTACATGTACAAGTGACATATGCTTCTCGCTCATGTCAGATATTTATTATTATTCTCTCTACATGCAACATTTTATGTATGGTTGTTATAATCTAATTATTCTCTGCCTGACATTTTACAATATTATTATCTATTATCATAATTATCACTATTATCAGTCAACAGGAATTAAGATAATTCCTCTTTTGTAAACTGAATTAAGAGATTCAATATAAAATCTCCTCATATAAATTAAGCTCAAAGAGTAATTAGAACAAAAATAATGTATAAGTGTAGTTTGATTAGCTCTGAACCTGATTGCCTAAAGGAAATGAAATATCTGCTACTGAACTTGCCATATTGATAGTAGAAACTTGGTTATGTTTTCCAAGTATGGTGCACTTCCTCCATAGAGGCAGGCAACATTTCTTGAAAGCTTTTCGGAAATGGCTGGAATAAAGGCCGTAAATGAGAGGATCAACTGCATGGCCTAGCGAGTTTAGTGCAAAGCCACCATACAAAACCCAGTTCTCATAGACTGTCTGTGAGAGAGGGCCTGATATTAAGATTGGAATCAGAATGGCCAGTGGTAGATAAGTGATTATGAAATTAATTGTTAATAGACGCATTGATCGAAACACTGATCTGTCCAGTTTGTTAGTGTGAATGATTAAAGAGGCAATAGCAGAGCGATGCAGTTTGATTAATTGCAAGAGCTTTAGGTAGTAAACCAACATGATGATGCCACAGACTGTGAACATACAAAGAAATATGATGGGCACCCAGTTGTTGTGAAGACTATAATCTCTGTCCTGCTCTGAACACGTACACACTCCCGTCATAAGCACTGGATAGAATACTGTGTATGTGACGAAACAGATTTCCAGAATCACAGTAAATGCTATATACAACAAAACAGACTTGAAATGTATCTGGTGGTGCTTGGACACTTGTGTATATCTTGCTATGGAGAGTGCCCCTATCAGTAAAACATTCTCCATGTTGGTAAAGGTCGAGCAGGTAAATGCTACTTTGCATATTGAGGTATGCACGTCAGGCGTTATCCAGCTGGAGCCAAGAATGCGTAACAGTAAAGATGTTGTGTGCACAGCACAATGAATAAAATCCACAATAGCGAGTGTGAACATCAGGGAGTGAACTGGAGTACGTAGACTACGCTCCCATATGAAGACTCCAATAATGAATATATTTGATAATGTCCCCAAAACAGTGGCTAGGATTAACATTGTGGCAGAGACTCCTACAAGTTCTGTTGGCAGATCACAGCTGCTCAAGTTGTTTGTTGTATTATATGATAGATTCTTTTCTAGATAAGACATCATTCTGATGATGAGAATACAATGTAGTGATGGTCAACGGTTGACATTGCTGCTCATATTGCTTGTTGCCTGATCAGATATTCTTCATAAATTCATTAGCTGTCATGCAATTGCTTTTGTTGACATGTAGCATACACATGTAGCTCATCACAACCCTTTTTATTTCGCTTCAGTCCCTGGAGGCCTGGTTTCTGAACACCTAGTTTCTCTGCCAGTGACAAATGTGACTGTTAATCTGTTTGTGTAGTCTTTTATGCAGCCTTACATTTCCTAAAAGTAGAAAGATGAGTAATGAAGAGATGCTCTGCATTGCATTGCATTATAGTCTTAGATCACATTCACAATGAGTTGAGCCATGGCTTTACAAATCCTGGAACTAAATATGGCGG